GGTCATGCGGCGCGTATTTGTGTCATGGCATATTTTCCCCTAGCAGCGGGGTTGAGTTTGCCCCGAATTTACTTCTTCGCTTTTTTTCCCCATTTTTGCGCTCGGCATTCTTTCCTCTCGTTTGTCGCATGCCCCAGATGCTTAAGGCTTGTTCCAGGCAGCGACTTGGCCGCATATTTGCAGCTGCACCACCATCATCCCAGCTCCTCCATAATGCCGCACATATTTCGGTGTGTGCAAAAGTTGAAATATATTTCATATTTTACTTGGGCTTGGGGAGTTACGGGCTCTCTTGGCCGTACTGCATGGCGTATACGAAATGCGAATGGCGAACTGCGAAATGCGAAATGTGTAGTGCAGCTTCTTAAGAGTGCAATAAAATGTTTTGCGCTTGCAAAACTTTTGTTTTTAGCTTCGAACGACTGGCGCTGAGTTTTTAGTTGGATTTGCAGTTTTGTTTCCCCAGTATACTTTTGTCCATATGAAAAGTGTCGCCAAAACGCGCATTAGACACTTTTTGCCGGCATCGCCAATGCCACTGCGATAAATGGCATCCAGATGGCAGTTAAAGTTTTCGGGTTTTCCAGAAGTTTGACTGAGGTGGCAAACTCGTTCTGCAGCCAAAGCAATTGCTGTTTGAAAGATTTTGATGATGAGAGAAACACAATTGATTCACTTGAAAGTTGGTAACGTTAGAGTCCATAGAGCTTTTATGCGATTCCACTGCAAATTGATGCATCATAAGGGATAGTAAATGGTAATGGTAATTTTAAGTATTTGTTTATAATTTAATGTTTAACTTTATAATTTAATATTTAACTTAACTTTATACTAAGTGACGTTTGATTATGATCATTATTATTTAAGTATGATCCCTAATTAATTCAAGTATAATCCATAAACAATTTAAGTATGATTATAGTACAGAAGAAAAAAATATATGAAGACTCGTCTGAAATTGATTCGTTGAGTTTTAAGTACATACATGACTAGCATTAGCTACGATTTTTGAGATTAGTTGACGCATACATTTTTTTTTAAATTGAAAGTTCCAATTGTAAACCAATTTTAAAAATCCTAGCGATAGCAGGACATTTTTCCATTAAATTTTTGCTGAAAAAAGCCGTGTATACGATTTCAACTCCCCTTCAAGGAGTAATAAGCTAAGCTCTTTCGGAACCCCCCAAAAATTGGCTGCCATCCGCCCGGAGATTCTTTTCCCATTTTGGCGCAAACAAATGGGTTCAATCATATTTGCATCAGTTTAGACAAATTGAATACCCAGCTCATTTGTAAGTTGGCCAACATCCGGTGGAATCCCGAAAACCGGGCAAAGCAAGATAAATGTTCTGTGTGTCAGAAAACTACTTTTGCAACGACCGACACAGTGAGTGTAATAAAAGTCAAACGTGGTCGCTTTTGTGAACTAATAAGACGAGGCACCGGATATGAGAAACTCAGATACATTTACAGATACAGCTGCAGATACAGTTTCGCCAGCCAGCCAGGGAGCACACAAGTTCGGGGCTAATAGATCATTAGTTAGCAGTTGTGCTGCTATGACCATTTTTGGGGTTTTTCGGGCATTCCTTTTTGAATATTTATTGCAGGCGTAACTGTAATTTATTGGCCAACATTTGTCATGCGAACTGCAAGATCTTCGTACTGGCGTACTACGTCTGGCGTTCCATCTGCATATGAAGCATTTGTTAATTATGCCCTGGCTGAAAAGGGGAACAACTCGCTGGCTTCAAAAGACATTTTAATACCAAAAAGGGTGGATGCCGAAACTTTACCACTGATGATTATGTTGATGACAACGTTGTCGACTGTTGGGAGGGGTGGAAACAAAAAATAATACTCACCCGCGATAAGGCAGTCTACGAGTATCGAACGAGCAAACAAAGCCCCGCCAAGTCAAAGTGCAATGCAGCATAAAAAATGCAAGGGGCGGGAAATGGTGATGGGGCTGGAAAAATGGGTCTGGGAAATGGGTTAGGGTTTGGGGGGCAGACGCGTCGAGTGCATTGACAGCTGACAGCAAAGAGGCTGAGCAGGCCCCCCGAGTTATGCATACGAGTACGTCTGGGGCGGGAAAGGGTGCTCCGTTGCTTTCTTTTGCAAAATTGCTTGTTTACTTCAAAGCAAGCAATTCCTGGAGCATCAGCTGCGTCATGGCGCAAAACAATGCTGTCAACTCGGGCGTCGCTGCCATCGCACAGCGCCATCAGCACTGGAGGAGAGGCAGGGAAAGTAGCAGAACTTTGGGGTGATAGAACCCCCAGATACCCATGGAAGTACGGAAAAATATAACCGAATTTGGGAGATTTTATTTTACTTTTCTGCGTTTATATGTCTCCATTCTAATAATTTAAACGTAATGGTTTTGTAACAAAACAGTTTGTGACATTGTAGCAGAAATTACATTAAAGCAACAAAGACTTCGATGGAAACTACCCTTTAAAAAAACATTAGCAGGCCGTAATCGATTGAAAATATAAAAATGAATTGAAAATCTATGGTATATAAATAAAATATTGATTATTACTAAATACATTAATAATCTTGCTGAGCTTTAAATTTTTTATAAGCTCAGTAAAGTGAAATTAAATAAGCAGGTGAGTTGTATTATTGATATATTTTTAAGATATTATCTAATTTCTTCGTATACCATATGATTTATTTATATAATATTCATAATTCCAAACATCCTAATACAACCCTTACTTACACAGTGTACAGAGTACAAAGAGGCAGCAACAATGGCCAAGAAGCGAGTGCTTGAGACTTCCTCGAGGTCCCCAAGCTCTGCCGAGTGCCCCGGCGGATATTGCTAGGGAAATTGATTGAAAGTTTGAGCATCTTAAAAGTAATGGTAATGAGATTGTTTTGCTTGCATTCGCATTGCACGGATGCAGCTCACATGTGCAAAGGAACCCGTAATCCCCGAGTGCAATAATTATAAATAGTGCTCGTGAGTGCGGGCCTGTGAGTGCGATTAAGGATTGCCTGGCTGCGTTTTCGATTCGTTACGTTTCGTTTTGCTTTGTGGATGCTCTGTCAAATGTTATAAATACGCCTGCATTATGCGCCCCGATTCTGATGAATGGGTGTCCAACCAGTCGCCCCACTCCATCGAGCTCCCTTGGCCTGGCCAGGATAAACTGACCTGGTTGCCATCGAACGGAACGGTGTTTGGTGCTTGGTCTGCGCATAACAAATGGCCAGCAGATAACAATGGATGATGGGTACAAAAGCGAAGAGGAACCCACTGAAGGGTTGTTCAAGTGCCAGCCAACCAGCCATCGAGGGAGCCTGATTGAGGTCCCTTTCATATCCCGTTCAGAGCGGATCGATGGTGCCTATAAATATGCATGGTTGTGCGGCAAAAAAAAATGCTGTATTTTATAAAATAAATACGCCTCTTCAATTCAAGTATTCTCCTTCTTCGACAAGCTCTTCCTTAAAGCTCTTCCTTTTTGCCAGCAATCAGAGGTTCCACACCACGTCAAAAATATATTTAATTGACCGGAGACTTTGCAGTTTTTAATTTTGCCAAATCTGTCAGCAAAGCAAAGAGCCAACAACATTTTCTGCCTGATAAAAGGCGGCACATAAATTATTCCGAAAAGAGTCTTCCAGGGCTGTCGGACTACAAAGTAACATATGAGTCAGTCCTGTAACCGAACTTTGTCTCTCCTTACACTTTGCAAATATGTTCTGAGCATTACAAATAATAATATATAAATATTGTTTAGCTACATTCTATTTTCACAGGTATTATGAATCTGTGGTTGATGTTCATAAAATATGTGTTTTTTTTCTATTTCTTCATCAAGAACAGGATATTTTAACATTTTCTAAAAGCAGAAAAATTGTTCAAATTTTATTGTAGCCTAGGAAAATCATAATAATAATAAAATTCAAGTGTACCTCTGCACGATGTCGTTATTTTTGGGCTGCAGCTTCATTTTCCGTCCGTCTGGCAATCTCAATTTCTGTCTGCTGTTCTTTCCATTTCTGCCAGCCATTGTGTGTGTGCTTTTTAATTTTGGACCAAGCGAAACAAAGTAACGCAAATACTTTCAAAGACCGAGAAAATGGCCAGAGTGCAAAGTCATGAGCATCCCGGGTAGCTTGTCAAACATGACCATTGCCATTGCCAGGCCACAAATCCATGTGATGTCTCCTGCTGTCGTCTTATTTCTCTTAGATCTACGCTTCGCTGCACATGCAAACGTTTGCCAAAAAAAGAAGAAAAAATAATAAAATGGGAAAAAAACCAACCCACTGCCAAGGAAAATGAGGAAAGCCAAATGGAAGAGATGTTTGGGTCCCGCTCACATACACATGCCGAAATAACTCATACGCCACGTTGTCGCTTGTCCTCGCCTGTGTCCATTTGAGTGCACAATTTGAAAAGGCTACTTGCCTCGCTTTTGGCCTTGGGGCCTGGGCTGCAAGAAGACGCCAACAACATTGCATTGTCAATTTATGTTCGCCAGTTTCGCTTCTTACACAGAGAAAAATAGTAAACTTAAAAATTTTAAGCATAAACAATAGAACCCTTGACATTCATTAAAATAAATATGTTATACCAAAGAACAACAAAACCTTTTAAATAAATATTTTTAAATCATAAGCAATATAACCAAGAATATTCATTGAAACAAATATATTTATTTAATAAGTTTAATAACCTTGGATATGAATTTAATTAAATATAATTCGGTCATAAACAACGCATAATTGAATTTTAGTTGATATAAACACATATTTTTTCGTTAAATAAAACTAAAAAATAATTTCTCTCACTGCATTTGTGTGTGCATTAAAATTGTTGCAACATTGCAGCAGTGAAAGCCTTGTCGCTAATGGGCCGAGACTTCTTTTGAGCCCTCATCGCTGACTGAGTAGGGATAATGCCACCAAGGCAGACATCTGAAATCCGAAATCTGAAAAATCCGTAAGACCCGCTCTCAAAGAAAGAAATACTCAGCTTTTCATTGAAATTTTGTATGGATTTATTTGGTTGAGTTCATTCAGTTGTTTGCTGTTCAGTTTGTTTCTTGTGTCTCAAGTTATTATTGTATTCCTTGTATTCATTGGGATAGGGCAGGGGTATTTTCAATATCGTTTCGAGTGCTTAATCGTTACATACATTCATAATTCATTTTGTAGAGTATATGCCTTGCTTTAAACTAAATCGTTAATATATTTTACAATTATCTTTTATGGCTTCGTTTAGATGTTAAATTAGCTACACTTAGTTTTAGATTCATATTGGTTGGAACACTTACATGCAGAAATATACGCATAGATTGATGACCGACCCTATATATGTACGTTTGTTTGTTTGTATTTCATTCTAATTGATGTAAGAGAAATCACTTGTTTCTTTTTTTAGTTTATTTTTTGGTTTTTCATCTTTTTGTCTTAACTAGCTTGAAATGGAAATTGCATTTGCCATGCTGGGCCATTATTCTGCCTATTACAATTACAGCTCAACTTTAAAGGAGTATAGCTTTTCGTTTTGTTTGTGAATTCACTTCTCCATTCATTAAACACAAATATTAAAATGTAACAATAATTTACAAGGTGCATTTATTTTGTAATTTTTATACCATTTCACAGTTCAAACATTGATTTATACATTTAAGAGAAAAAATACAATTTGATATATAAATGCAATTTACAAACAACAATTTTCCCCATTTGTTCTTCTTTTTCTGGCTTTGTTATTTTTTTTTTGTTTTGAAAGTTTACATACCAACGATAGGTCCTTGTTGTGTTTTCTTTTTTTTATTTATAGTCTTTTGGAGTTTCTCGCAAAGAATGTGCAACTAATTTACATTCATTAGTTTGCAGCGCTTCTGTTTGATTTGCTTTTGGGTTTTGTAAAATAAATTTGATTTACGATTTTGCTATTTACACATTAATACTTAGTATTCATTTATGCTAGGCTAATTGCAGCTAATTTGCGTGTGTGTGTTGGGGTTCTTAGTGTTTGTTTTATTTATATCATTTACCATAGATTCGAATAATGTAATTTATTTTCAATATAATTGCCAAGAAGTTGCGCCCTCGCATTGCTCGCCTATCTTTGGTTGAGTGAGTGTGAGCTTTAAGTCTATTATATCGAGGATATACTTACTAATTATGTACTAGATGTATGCGATCTTTGAGCCTAATTGCTAAAAACTGCAGCCCCTTACTTGTCAGCTGACATTTACAAACATTTACAAAGTCTCCTGGAAAATAATTCATATTTCTCGTTTGTGTGAAGTAATCTGTTGAAAAAATATTGCATAGACTGTGTGTCCATCTGAGTACTTACTGTAAGGAAGGAACATTCTTCTGCTGCTAATGCATCATTTTCTGGCTCTAACTGTTTAAAAGTAGGCCTAAAAAATTAAATTTCTCTGGCTGGTTTTAAACATTTATCCATTTATGAGAGAAGTGCTATAAATTATGAATCAATATCGCCTTTTTGCTGCTTATTTTCAGTAATCGATTTTGATTTATTAAAATTACTGTTTGGGAATTTTAAATTTATGGCTTACATTTTTATGCCGCATTAAGGCATGTAAATTATAATCTTTTTTAGTAAAATAATAAACTGTTTAACTTACTAACCCAGATGCCACTTTAGATATATTTCAAATTTTTAACAGTCAAATATTAATATTGAGGCGTAAAATGTTGAAAAATGTTCTATAAATTTATATATAATAGTTAGGGTTGTAAAGAAGTATTTTTTACAAAAAACACATTCAAAGATAGTTTTTGGTTTAAGAAAGTCTTTCATACTATTAGGACTCATAAAAATAAAAGAAAATTGGTAAAATGGGAAGTACAAGGTTTTTAAGAAAGGTGGCTTTCAAGATTTAAATGATGCTCAGAAGATTTAAGGGGTATTGTGGCAGCCTTAAGCTTTACATTTAAAAATATTCAGTTCCTCGACGAGCACACAAACGATTCAATTCTGCAATTCAATTCAATTCGTTTTGGCAACACTTAGCCTAGACACCAACCACGAAGAGCTCAAGACTTACAAGACTAGTTAATCGGGTGATTTGGGCTATTTGTGAGATTTGAGAGATTTGGGTAGTACGGATTGGGTAAATCCATGCCCGGGAGTCCTTAGACGCAGCTCTCCTGCTGCGAATACATGAGCGGGGTGCGAACGGTGACAATTTCGCGGGAATAGGACTTGCCCACGCCCGAGAGTCCCGACAGGGAACTACTGGGACTGGCCACCGCCGCCGTGGTGGAGGCCAATCCGCTGCTGTTGCTCGAGACCAGCATTTGGCCATGGGCCATTTGCTGCTGCTGCTGCTGATGCTGATTTTGCTGGTGTTGCTGGTAGGAGGGCGGCATGTTGGAGGCAGGATGGTGGTGCAACTGCTGCTGCTGCTGCATCATTTGCATCATCGAAGCGGAGTTCTGCGGACCGCCCGCCAGCTGCTGCTGTGCGTGATGATTGTGCGGCAGAGTGTGGTAGCCACCGGGATGCTGGGGCAGGGTGTACATCTGCACGGTGCCGGGCGAGACGGTGGAGGGGGTGCCTTGTGACCCCGGCGATGAGATGCATGCCCCAGGTCCACCTCCTACACCTGCTCCTACTGTCGTGTCCACCTGCATCGTCTTGTACGCATCGATCTGCGCATATATCGTCGGCTCCTCAAAGTAATCGTAGTCGTACGTGGGCGGCGGAGCGTGCTGGTGCGGATGCTGCAGTCCGCCCGCATTTGGCTTGTGGCGCTGCAGGGTCGCCGTCGCCGGAATGGTGGGCAGCAGCTTCCGCATGCTGGACCCATGTGGCAAGGTGCCACCCATCAGGGGGTGGGCATGCTGCACCTGCCCCTGCTGCTGCTGTTGCTGCACCACCTGCTGCGACACCCCCACCCCGCCGCCGGGCTGACCCTTCTTGGAGGCGCCTCCGCTGCCGGAGGGCATGTTGGCCAGCGACAGCTCCGCGTAGTGCAGCTCATCGTCCTGTGGAGGGGTTGAGGAAAATTGGGGAGGCATTTAATAAACTGTCATCAGGGAACATCCGGCGATTTAAAAGGCACCCAACTGGACTGGAGTATACAGTCGAGACCATGCCAAGAAACTCTGGTGCCAAATATTGTAATATTTGGTTAATAAACTTAAGAGGAAATGATAACACTTTATTCCAAATCTAATTTAAGCATTTAGAAAATTACAAAAAAATCATGTTTCTAGAAATGTTAACTAAAAACGCAAGTCTATTTTATAGATATTTAAAAGAATACCTCCAAAGGTTTTGTTTAAACAAACAAACTTCACAAACTTTATTTTGTTTTGTTAATATTTTAATAATTTTTTCAGTCTGCTCTTTTCCTTAAAAAACATTCACCTTTTATTTAAACAAAACCGTTAAATAACAGTTGGTTTTTTTTATATTTTACTTGATTTAATCAGAGTGCTTTCAAAGACATTAGGGTTTCCGGAAGTTCTATGAAACAAGCAACACCAAATCAAGGCATTTGTCAAGGTAATTACAGGCCAAAACAAATTTCAATTAAATTTAAAAACAACCAATTTGGCCTTCCCGGAAATAGCAGGTGAATACAGGTGAGCTAACTCCTTAAGGGAGCAACCATCCCCGTGGAGGGGCACAAATGATTCTTTGCCAACTGTTTTCCGGGCAGGGCTATAATCACAAGTTTATTTTCTAATCTGGCCCAAATTGTTTTCAAGAGCATTAAGATTTTCGCAAGAAATTTGCGACATCAAATCAAAGCATTTGTCATGGCAATGTTGTTGGCACTCGGGGGAGTTCGTCATAGAGTGGTTCGACTGTAATTAAAACTTTTCGGTGGCCAAAAGTTTTTGGGGGCCGTCGACAGTTTTGGCTGGAATCGACTCGACTCGACTCACCTTGCTGCTCTGATAGGTGCCACTGTCCGCCGAGTTGGCCGGGAGGATTCCGGTGCCGGATGTGGAGCCCGGCTTGCAGCTGATTTCCACCTCGCTGGTCGTCGAAAGATGTCCCGATGGCGTTTGTGTTGCTGATTTTTGTTTATATTCGCCATCAACTGGATGGAAATTTTCCGGGTGGGGGTGCGTGTTGGTGAAAGGAGAGAGCGGAACGAAATGAAACAGAATGGAGAACGCTTAGTTAGTTCGGCAAAAGTTTGAGATGGTCGACGACGTCGTCGTCGTCTTTTCTGTTTTGTTGTTAAGTAGCCAGAGAACCAGGGAAAAGTTTCTGGCCCGGCCGACGCCCTCAAATCTTTTGGTGATTTTCGGCAGCAAGTTTTCTTCCTGCCCAATTTTCCTTGGCTTTTCCCTTACTTTAGTGTTTTCTTTTTCATTTTTTTTATTTTTTGTTGGCCATGAAATTGCTTTACGTTTGGAAAATTGATTAAATTGTTGTGCTGTGCTGCTGCTGATGCTCTTCTGCTTTTGGCTGCCGCTTGATTTCTTGATTGCCATTAATCAAGCGAGCACGTGCAGTGAGTGAAATTGCTGCTGCTTCTAAAGCAGCGTTTTGGCCACACTCTACCCCCATTTTGGCCGTTTAAAAGGGTCTTTAAGGACCTCGACTGCAGACACACGAGCAAACAAGCTAACCGGCGAGGACCTGACAGCAATTAGCTGTCATTTAAATATTTCAGCAGTGGCACAAAAATGCAGCCAGCTCTTGAGGAGGGGGGGGGTCCTTCAGGTCCTGTTTGTTTTGCCTGCATGAGCCGAACGGCCTGTCAAATGCATTTGCATAAGAGGAAGCCTCAAGCCAGCGTCCATAAATTGTGAACAGAAGCCCGGGCAGACGCCATTTATCTTGGGGGGTAGAGGGCAGTAGGATGGGCAGGGAACCGGGAACCGGGGACAGCGGACCGGGGACCGGGAACTTACCCTCATTGTAGGGCACAACATCGGGATTCTTCTCGTCGTACATCTCCTCGGAGTGACTCAATGGCAATGAGATTTTGTCCTTAATTTGCAAATTGCCCGGACGTGAGAATTTCGCATTTGGATGTACGAATTTCTGTTGCTGCTGGTGTTTGTGCGAGCGCAGTTTCAATGCGGCAATGGTGCCGATTCCGATGCACACGATGGCCACCAGGATGCCCACAAAGATGCCAATCGACAGGATCGGTGTCAGCTCAAAGTTATCGGGACTCTGGGCACTGCCCTTGTACGAGGTCAAGGCGACTGCAAAGGTAAATTCAATTGAAATTTATAGTAAATGTCTATAGAAAGCTTTAAGAGGGAGTTAAAGAAATATCGTATCTATAAGATTTTATTTTTAATAATATTATTATACATAGTGCACTCCTATTCTATTCATGTATTTTGGTTATGACTATGATTTACCATTTTATAGAATTTTATTTATTTTTAAGTTTATCTTTTTATGAAGTACCTTATCTTTTAAGAAGTTCTTATATAATCAAAATGTATCCCTTAAATCTTTAAAAATTAGTTATCTCTCCCCCAAACATTGTTCCCATTTCTCCAATCCCCAATCAATTCAGATTTTCATTTCCAACAATGGTTGGTAAATCTTTCCTTTGAGCGAATGAATCCTCCACAAATGCTGATCATAATCAAGCTTAACCTTTGCTCAGAGCATCCACTCTTTGACCTAGCCAAGACAATTTTCTTTTCTGATTTCCATCTCTGGCTGGCCCGGCTTTCCTTCTGTTTGCTGTTTGCTTTGCACTTTTCCCCGTTTCCATTGCTCCGACTGACTTTATGAAAAATTGAAATGTCGGCTCAAGTTGTTTACACAAAATGTGACTGTCCCTCCGAGATTCTCTTGCCGCTTTTCGACTTCCTTTCCTGTACCCCCGACCCCTCAAAAGGGAAATGTACAAAAATGAAAATAAAATTCTTGTCAGCTCTTCCTTTGGCTAATTAGCATTACAATTTCCTTTTTCGTTTAGACCCCCTTACCCTCTATAAAGGAACTCTCCTTCCGCATTTTGCCAGCCCCAATTCATTAATGCTAATCATTTCAGATTTTTTGCGCTACTTTGTGGAGGTTGGGTCTGCATAAAAATTGCCGTTTACTGTCCCAAAACTGCAGGCGAAAGTTTTGAGACGCGGAATTTACAATTCATTGAGCAGTTTAGCGTAATTAAATTGCGAGGTGGCATAATAATCATAAAGCCAGGAACCATCTTTGGCGAGAAACTGATACAGAGGCTTTGCCGAACGCAAAGTTATGCAATTCATAACGTGAGTCTCGATATTAGCATACAAAATACATTATAAACTGGAAGCACTTAGAGAAACGAGGCTTGAAAGGCTAATATATTTACCTATAAGTGAAGGTAAATTATCCTAAATTTTATAATTATATGTTCCAAAATGCGTACAACTGCTTTGATAACATGATATTTTGTAGGAAATATATTCCTAATTTGAGTTTATAATTTTTGTCAGTGCTTTTTCCTAAATGCTTTAAAATTCATGGGTTTGAGGGGTGGCATATCATCACTTACCAGTCTGCTTCTCGGCCGCCTTCAGGGTGTATCCATCGAGGGCAATGGCATCGCTGCGGCCTCGTCCATTAACGGCATACACATAGATCCGGAACAGGCGGCCAGCATCCAATCCCGTAACGCTCAGGGCCGCGAACTTGGCACTGATGTTGGCCTGCAGCTGACCACTGTGCTGATCGAAGATTTCCATGAGGAACCATTGCCGCATTCCGCCATCGAATCCTGCGAAAAATGGAGGAGAACATCGATTGCATAACTTGTCACGAACTGGGGCTTACTTAGCATATTGGATTGGTATTGGCCAAGGAGTCGGTACTTTGAGCTTATTAATATTAAGTAGTTGCCAATCGACGGCGGGTCTTATATAAATATACTTTGCTTTGGGGTTTGCCAGGATTTATTTATGTCTGGCCAGGACTTTTGTTTCGGAATTTCTTTGATGCCAGGTTAAACAGATAAATGGTATTATAATAAGCAATATCACTGTTACTGATGGCAAAAAGTTTTAAGGCTTAAAATGTCAAAAGTAAAGAAATATATTTCAATCACAGTCATTTATATTTGTCTATTTTTGGTTACATCAAAATGATTGAGTGAATGGGAAAAATCGTTACACTTTTACAAAATATTTGATAAGTGCTCTAGGGCATACAACTTATTTGTAGACTTTGTATCTTCCTCTATTTATATCACCAGCCTCTTAATTCCATAAAATACATAAAGAATTACCCAGAACCTCTCAACTAAAGGTCAACCCTTTGAGTGTAATTGAAGGACCCCTCAACTCTTTGCCGACTGCCCCCGAAATATGTATTCACAGTAATCTAAAGTTACATTTTAAATGCCATTTAATCACACCACAAAAGAACTTGCCCACTCGAGTTCGCCCCTTTTGAGTGGCGGGGAGGAGTGGCGGTTTTGGCCAGAAAGTAAGAGGCTAATGTTGGGCCACTTCTTCAGCGGCTGCTTTTGCTTAGCTTTGGCAGCTCAAATGGCATTTCATTGTAGACACAAAAGCCGACTTAAAACACTTGCGAAAAATGTTAAAATATTTTGCAATAAAGGCAGTGAAAAGGTTTTTGGGGGCGGGTTTTTCCCCGACCCGAGCTAATTCAGTGGGGCACACGCCCACGGGCCAGAAGGGAAAGAAATTGTTGTGGAAAATGTTTTATATGTTGCTATGAATTTTAGTTGTTGTTGGCCACTTTTTCAGCCACCCAAACTCGCCGTCACAAAGAAAAAGGGCACGGAAATAGAGTAAAGAGAATGTGCTTGGCCTTTGCCTCAAAGCGTCATTGTTCGGTGGGTGGATGGTTTGGTGGGTTGATGGGTTGGTGGGTGGTTGGGTGGGTCAATGGGTGGCTCGGTGGGTTTATTCCATTCTTGTTTTCAGCTCCCTTTCAAGGGATCTCCCCCCCAATCTCCTCATCGGCGGCCATTTTGTGCGCACTTTAAAACGTTTAGCTAATGAAATTTGCCGCAGCTCCGTTGTCAGAGCTAAAAAAAACTTCATTGTAATGGGTTAATTTTATTTACTTGGCTACAGCAACAATGGAAGCTGCGCCAGTGGAGTAAAAATAATAAAATAAGACCGGCAAGAAGCAGCAATACACTCATAAAAATAATTTCTTAAATAAGTACATCTTTAAGATAAACAGATTATTCGAAGATTAGTAATATTAGACCATTAAACTAAGTAAAAAAAAGTATTTGAAAAGGGAAAATTCCCATTCATTATTATTTTTTTTTTAATTATCTAGTTTCACTGCTAACACTTGTAACATTTTTAAAATTTTTTATTTTCTATTTTTAGATTTTTTTCTCCTTTAGTAAATATTTCCCCAGTGCATCAGCATCGTCAGCAGCGAAGCAAAATGTTATAAACTGAAATTTTATTATATTAAACCGACGCTTGATGAGTTTGGTTAGTTGCCGTTGCCGTTGCCCCGTCAGTTTGTTATATTTTTGTTTTCCGAGTAGAAAAAAGCAGGGAAACAGCAGTGGCCAACCGAACTTGGCCCCCCAAAGATGTGGAGTTGTCTTCAGCAGCGCACATTGGATTCAATTCGAGGCGGGCTGAGTTGGTTTAAGTTCAGTTCCGTTCAGTTCAGTTTGAGCCGAGTTGAGCTGCGGCGACGGCCACGTCGAGTTGAGTTGGCCAAGTTGCGTGCTGGCTTATTAAAGTCGACCGCAGCTAAAGTTGAGTTATTATAAAAACAAACGACCAAGGGCTGTGGGCGGTGGGCGGTGGGTGGTGTGTGGGAGAAAGGGGCGTGGCATTTCAGCAGTCGTTCGCCTTAATGTAGAGTGCAATATAAAAAGTATCGCATTGTGCGCGCTACCCTGTTCCTGATGCTGCTGCTCTTGTGTTGTGCTTAAACAACTTGCGTTAAAGTTTTAATGATGCTGATGACTATGATAATAATGTGCAGTCACTAAATTAGCTGCCCGGGGGGTGCGGATGAGGGGGCGGAAGTGGGAGTGATGCGGTAATAAGGCGAACAATGGCTTTTCCAGGAGGAGGAGGAGTGGGGTGGAGACGAAACCGTAGCAGCTTAAAGCCATCGCTGCAGTGCATACGAAATGATATCTGAAGTTTGGTCATCAAGTATACGCAATGTGGTCGCTAAGCGATGGGTAGATAAGTAGATAATGCGGTGGGATGCTCTAAAGAGGCTATTGTTTTTAAAGGAAAGTGATTTAAAGATTACTTTTAAAGGTACCTATAAACATAGTTTGTTATAAAACTACTGTAATGTTTTGGAACTTTAATAAACTTCATAATAATACATTTATTACCTATATACATAGTTTGTTATAAAACTACTGTAATGTTTTGGAACTTTAATAAACATCATAATAATACATTTAAAAGCCGAAAGAGGAACTTAGCCGTTTTATAGTCCCCCAAATTTTTGCCAAGCCCTTTACAACTACAGTTTAAACACATAAAGTAATTACCACCACACAGATGTTAACCCAGACGGCATTTCAAACGTAAAAATTGAAAAGCTCAAGCATTTCCGAGCAGTCTCGTAAATCGCAACAATGAAGGCATTGCCGGGGAATTTCCCTGCATTTTCCCATTCCGCATTCTGCAGCGCGTAGTAATGCAATTACACATTACGCATACGCGGAGTGGGCAAGCACTTGAGACAACATTAAGTAAGCACAACAATTGCGATTGCCGGCAATTGGTGGAAAACATTGAGCGCTTAAAGCGGCGTGGGGAGTGATGGGAGGGGGGGTCTTGGAAAACAGAAAAGAAAAGTGGAAAGCACGCGGGGCGCGGGGGCGTAACAAACAGCAACGGGAAAGAGCGCCATTAAGTATGCAGTTATTATGCGCTTTTTGTTGCACTTCTTGCAGCAGCCGCCTCGTTATGCAACGCTTTGATTTGCGTTGCCTTTTCGCCAGGATCCGCTTGCCTTTCCCTCCGGTTTTCCCCGGGTTTTCCCTGGGTTTTCCCTAGCTTTTCCCGCCCCCCCCTGCCAACGTCTCTGTGTCTCCGGTTCGGCACTCAAGGACTGCATAAATGCATCATAAGCTCGGAGCTGCTGCAATTTGCGAGGACATTTCTCTGTCTGCGCTAATGTGCAACTCTATCGCTGCGAACTTTGAACTCTGGGACTGCAATTTGTGCTGCTTATTTTGCGCTTTGCTGGCATTTTTCTGTCTTTGCGTTTTCCACTCCTTGCGCTGCGCATAAAATATGCGAATTGAATTTGTATTTAAAGTTTCCGCCCTTCTTGGGCAACTGGCAGGCAGGCAGCAAGTTGCCTAACAAGCCAAAACATTTTGTATGTACAAATTTGCGCTTAACTTTCGGCCTTGCCCGCTCCAGCTCCTTCACATCCTTTAGATCCTTCAGCTCACTGCTCCATCACTGGGGCTGCTTCTATTTTATTTATTACGGAAAATTTTAAACTGGAATTGAAATTTTAGCAACATTATTTTGCCCACTCTACGATGCGTTTCCTTTCTAGTTTTATGCTTTCATTGCGTTTTTATTATTTGTGTCTGCATCACGAAAGGAAGTTGGCTCTGCTTTACGATTGTGTGGATGGGAATCTGTATCTGTGTGTGTGGGTCTGTATGAGTATGAGTGGATAGACATACTCGTAGATGGCTGCCAAAGTGCACTTAAGTTGCTCATGTATTTTAAATGAGTCTGAAAAGCGTTGCAGGAAACTCAGCATATACATGTTACAGCGCTCGCACACTCGTGCCCATGCTGCAAAGGAAGTCTCAGGACATGACCACTCCTTTTGGTCCTTTTGGCCCCTTGCAACACCCACTTCCACTTCCCCTTCCCCTCCCACTTTTACACCCACCCCCCATTGACCAATGCCTTTTTCGACCATTGATTGGCTCATCAGCAATTATAGAAACAAAAAAGAAAAGAAACCGTACCGAATGAAAAAGGGCAACAAATTGGCTGGCAATTTGACGTATATGTATATATTGTATGTTCGTTATGTATGAGGAGTGTGTGTGTGTGTTCTGGTTCTGGCCATATAACTCACCTTCAATGCAATAAACCTCCAGCGAGTCGGACGTTTGATTGACCACCGTACAATTGGTGGGCGCTTCCGGTTTGCCAGCGGCGATCAAATGGAACACACAGGGCTCCTTCTGCTGACCCACATTGTTGTCGGCCCAGCACATGATGGTGCCAAAGTCCATTTCCTGTAAAAGGCGTAGGAGACAGCGTTTCGTCAGTACTCAATGGTGAACATGGGTTAAAAATAGATGGTACACAAGGAAAAGCATTTAAGAATATCATTATATCATACCACAAAAACAAATGATTGGGATAACCAAATATCAGCTTGAAATAATACTAATGTCTCTGAATTTCAAACGTGATTTCATCCTTTCAATTCCCCCACTTAAGAATTCTATTCTGATGCTTAGATCTATAATTATTAATCTTATTAAATAAATAATAAGTCCCACTTATATGAAAATCTCTACAAACAGGATCACAAACTGTTTATATCTATTATTATTAAGTAAATAATATTTCAAAATCTCAAAAAATAGTATCGCAAACTTCAATCACATCTTATTCTGAAAGGAAATGCTTTTTTCTGCCAGTGCAGCTACTTCAGTTCATCTCTTGGACACACATTTAAATGGAATTCAAGCAGCCGCGCTCGACATCAATGTGAACTTAATTCATTAAATCAATATGGATACGGGCCAGTATGTTGTCAGAGTTGCCCCTGATTGATTGCAGCTGTCAATAAGTTTTTCATTAATATAATTTCATGTCATGTCAATGCAGGAAGGCCAAGGAGCAGGGCGGAAAAAGCAAAGGAAAAATGCCTGGCAGTAAAAACAAATGAAGCATTTTGTGGTTCTGCCCCACGGCCATCACATCACAACGGATATATATATGTGTATATCCGTGCGAATTGTGGGCGAGGAAGGAAGTCATGTTAACATGGCCCTAATGCCTGTCTATCCCATTGTAGCCCAGTGCTAAGTGGCCGCCTGCGGTCTTGGCCATTGTTTGTGCCTCTTGTTTATTTGTTTGCATTTTGTCAAATGTTGTGCTAATGAAATCCTTCGTCTCCGGTCAAGTGCACACACACACCCACCAAACTAGTGGACCATTCGCTCACGTCCCCAACAATCGATATCTCCATATCATTGTTTCTTTGTGGGGCGTGTTTACCTTTGTCCTTACCCATATCCCAATTTTCCGAGCCCATTCCCATTCCCATGCCCATTTCCGTTCCCGTTGACTGGGAACAGCAGAATCAACGCACTTAATCAACTTCAGGCGGCCGGGACTCATTAAAAATTGAAATCACTTTCGGGTGCACGGCGAAATGTCAACGCAAATTGCAGCTTATTTATCAGTCCGCACGCGTTCCAACCTCCTCTCTTTTTGCCCTTGCTATCTTTTCGACTCGCAACTGGGCGTGGCTGTCATTTTAATTAGGGCAGGAAAAGAAAAGTAGGGGCAACAAACAAAAAAAAAAGAGTGGAACACACCAAAGGGAAAGTTTGCCAACAGCCTGGAGGGAAAGCCGAGATTTATGGAAGTCGGGGAATGTGAGGGGATTTTCGGCTTTTCCTTGATGGGAACTCCAATCATCTAGAAAAAGAGTTGGTGCGTTGGCAGCACTGATTGATTACTTGGCCTATTGCATACTTTCAAATAAAAATCGATGGAGATCGCTATCAAGAGTCTTTATTGAGTTCACTAACCACAAATGTCCAATTAACTTTTATTGATGTATATTTGTGAAATACGAGTCCTTCAATTTATTTTAAACACCGTAAAACGAAGTCATAATAATTTCCTGATTTATTTATTTCATACCAATTAAAAAAGAATTTGAAGCAATTATAGAATCTGCCATACTGTATTGTTTAGATTTAAAATAAGTCGAAATATGATAATTACCATTATCCCTATTAAATAAATAATCAAAATCAATTATTTTGCTTTATTTCTGCTTGCAATTATTTATTGAAGATATATTTTTCTCGAATTATTTCCATTTTGTTTGCCATTTTGATTGCTACATTAATAGCAATTGAATGATAGGATGGAAAGCAACTATTAAAATAAATAAAAGCTTTTTAAAGCGATATTAAAACGAAGTTGAAGCCCCGAAACTTTTCTTTGTGAATAAACAGTTTAGTCTAACTGCCTACGAAGAGGAAAATAAATTGCAAATATTCTGTAGCCTTTGACTCATAATTTAAGCAACAGTGCTTATGCAAATTTATGACAAATTTATGAAAATTAAAATAGGTAGCTGAATGTGTGTGTTTGCCTAGTGTGTAATGGCTTTAGCAGTTTTTGTTGTGTGTGTGTGGCAAAAGTGTTGGCACAAAGGCGCCAAGTTGGCAGCTGCCAACACTGCGCATCAACACCGACGGGCCAAAAGGGAAAGTGGCTAAGAGCTACTGTATACCATAGCATAGTATACGACTACGGCAATATAATAATGGAGCTGCCAGGACCAAAAGCACAAAGCCAGAACAAAAACAAAGCCAACTCGCACACAATTGCCTGGCATTTTAAGTAACAATCAATGTGGGAGATGCACAGCACGCTCTGCTTTTTCTATTTGCAACTGTCATCGCCCGGGCCGACAATCCTTGATAATTTCTAGTCCCTGGGGCCCTTTGAATTTATGCCCCTCTATGTATTATGATTATTTCATTTTGTTTATATTGTTCTAATGTTGCGCCAGCAAAAGTGTAAATATTGTTGCAGCAGCAGCAGAAGCTGCAACCTTAGATGCCGTAGAAATGAAAACAAAATACATAAAATATATGTACGTATACTTGATATTTTTCCAAGTGTGTGTGTGTATCTGTGTGTTTAAGGGCTCTAAAGAGGACAAAATGCCACTTCTAGGCATTGCATTCTGTGCATTTCGTTTCAAGTCAAGTCTGCCATTATTATTTATGCATTTTAATTAAAAATTTAAACATTTAAGTGACATTTTAATGAGTTTCTTGCACTGGGGTTCAACACAGAGACCCAGAGAGGTGGAGTGGTGGAGCGCTGGAGCTATGCCCCAAAAAACCCAGAGACCGAAATTTATTTTTGTGAAATATTTGAGAAATTTATATGTCAGCAGCGGAAATTGCTTGACATGAAAGCCTTGCAAAAATTGCTCTGCTCACACATAGAAAATAGCAATGGTATTGAGAAAAAAAATGTGGGGAAATGGAGAAAGAGAAATGCCCATGCACAAAACAAAATTAATGAGCTGTTGGCTGCCTTTGAACAAATCGCAAAAAAAAACGTAAAAAGAAATTGTGGAGAAGGCCGAAAAGAAAAATCCCAACCAAAATGTGACGACGACGTTTGAGCTGCGGTTGGCGGAAACCGGAAACAGCATATATGACAACAGAACGGAAGGGATTTTTCATATTCAATTGAGCTAAATGATTTATGTCTGTGTGAGTCGGTGGGGGGTAAGTCTCTGTGTGTGTGTGTCTGTATCTGTGTCCAATCAGTGCGATGGACGGGTGTTTGTGAGCGGAACTCATTTGAATGCCGTTTGACTGCCTCGAAATTCGTTCGTTTGATCGCTGAAATGTAAGCCGAGGTTGTCGCCGCCAGTTTGATTAGTTTCATACCCAAAAAAAAGGGGGGAGAAAATAAAGGAAAATACGTAAAAGAGACGGAAAAGCATGGGAAAACTGCAGAAGGAGCCGCAACATTTTAAACTGGGTCAGCTAGAAAAACCAGACGGAGCGAAGGACCCGAAACCCTAAACCAAACCAAACCAAACCAACTGGGTGCCATGCAACTTGAACAACTGTGTTGAGTGCCTCTTCTCAGCACCCCCTGGAAACCCCTTTCGCCCCACCATTTCTGGCCAATGCCATTTACAGCATCCCGTTGCAACTCCTCCACTGTCATCGCATAATGGCAGCCATGTTGGCTTACAAGCGACCACAAGCCCAGTCCGAAAAACTTAACACGTTTGTGGTCAGACAGCCAAGCGGAAATGTAGGTGGCGACTGGCTGATGGGCAAAATCCAGCCAAGAGAAATCTCTGGCAGGAGTTGGCCTGGCCTTCAAGATCCCGAAAAAGTGCTCCAATGTTGCAGAGATTTTGAAAGAAAACTTTGTATAACATGAAAGCAACTTAAACTTATTCAGAAGTTAAGGAATATGTATTGTTCGTCCTTAGTTTTTGTCAATAAATTGTAGTTTTTGTATATTTTATTTTAGGATATTTATCTTATAAAAATAAACAGCAAAATACCCAAAACACTGCATTTCTAAACTCTCCTTCACACCACTTGATTTGAAGTCAACTGGTAAAATTCCTTCTTCGGAGCTTCTAATTCCACTTGCAACTATGTTTTGGCTGACCGTAAAAATTTACACATCAGCCAAAGCACCATCTGCTGTCGAGAGACTGACATGGGGAAATGGGGATATCAAATGCAAAAACCGAAATCCCAACGATTCGGACATTGATGCGAGTGCAGCTCATTGATGGCCAATTTGCTTGGCCAATTGCTGGGGAGGAGCTCCAAAAACTGCAATCGCAATGGCTGTTGGCCATTGGGGCTATTAATGCGGAAATGTTGCCAGAGAGACTGGCCAAGGGGAAGTGCTTAGCTTTATCCTCTTCATTTTGGCCAATGATGATAACTATTAAAGTCAATGGCATTTACTTCCAATAATTTTCCTGCTCTTTTGTGCTAGCTTTTTTGTTTTTCTCCTCAATAACCTTTGACATTCAATGGTGTTGTTGAGGATGAGTATGGTGATGATGATGATGATGATGGTGATGGTGATGTTGATGGGGTGGTGGTGCTGCTGCTATTGGATTTTTAATTAGAAAGCAGTGCTAATAGAATTTTTAATTAAAATCGCTCGACTGCCCCGAATGGCTGGCTGTTGTCTCTATCAGGAAGGACTTTGCTCCACTTTACTTCCCCTGTTGCTGGCTGACAACATGACACGCACACAGGCCAAAATAAATGGCAACAACCATGTGACCCGCCTATTAATTAAAATTTTTGCTATTCAATAACAGACAGCCCCCCGTGGAGTTCAATGGTAGCTACCGTGCACTGAAAAAACAAAGTTAGTCTATGAATAAATATGAAGGATTTGAAAATGAAAATGGAAAATGGATCACTTCATTCAAAATATTTGAATATTTTCAATCTCTAAATAACACATACAAAGGTTTATAGAACAGAAGCATTGAAGACAATGTTTTCTTAGTTTTAATAAATTTCTTTGTATTCTCCCTGGCAATTTTTCCCTCAGTATGGCCACCAGCCAAAATGTCAAATGTGTCAATAACAATTTCACATTAAAGGCGAATGCGGCAAAATATGAAATGAAAAATTTATCAGGCAGCCGCATGCTACCACCAGGAATGAATCGAATGTCTGACGTGCTTAGCATTTAACATGACGAATGGGTCACGCATCTGCAGACCTCGATCCCTCCGACATTTGTCGGTTCCCAGGCGACTATTCCTTCTCCGATTTACCAGACTTTCGGAACTTACCTTGACGGGCGTGTAGGTGAGGGTGGAACCCTGGGCGGAATGGGGCCGGAAACCGCTCTGCGGCATGTCGAAGGTCTCCGCCGTGTTGTTGAAGGACCACTTGAAGTTCTCCGGCGGCGGAAAGGCATCCACTTCGCACACTATTTCGGCCGCCTCGTTCCGTGCCACTCCATAGATTTTCTTTTGATCGGGCCGGCAAATTGGCTTATCTGTAAGGCAAAAGGCGGGTAAAACGGTCGGTGAGTGAGTGAGTGAGTAAGGAGATCGAATCAAAAGTTGGCTGTAGTGCATTCTGCTGTTTGCATCTGCAGCTGGAATCAATAATCGCATCAAACTCTGAGCGAAGGCTTCTTTGTTTTGGCCTGCCTCTTCACAGGCTCAGGAATCGCTGAGAAGTGGAAAAGTTTTCCCTTCTGTGTGTTCGCCCCAGCTCCATTGTCGGCCATTCAAGCAGCCAAACAAGCTGAACAAAGAGCGGCGAACAGAAAACAGATGCCGAAAATCCACCAAAATCGAGAAGGATGGATCAACAAAAACCGGAAGAAAAGAGGTAATTTTGAAGGACTTTAATACCTTTTCAAATCTCGAAGAAAAATCTAAATAAATTAAAGCAACAAAAATTGGACTTTAATTTTATTAAATTTAATTTTTCTAGTCTTCTAAACTAACAGCACTTTTTATTTGTTAAGTAATAATTTAAAAAAATATAAACTTAAAAAAATTACTTTCTGCGCAACCTTAGACCCCCTTGAATTCCTCCGTTCATACAACTTTATGAGACTCTGAAAAGCAGAGTTGAATGAAGGAAAACTTTGAACAGCGAAAACTTTCAGCCACAGCAAGGAGAAATGCAAGGAAAAGCTGAGTTGAGCCGACCAGGGAATATTCAATTTTCTAATCCTTGGCCGGCGAAAATCTTTCAACTGTCTCTTGCCACAGCCACGAAAGTTGCAAAAGTGGCAAGTTGCAAGTTGCAAGTGGCGAATTTATTGTGCCATTTGACAACTGTCGATATTGCACGCCAAACTGGGCAAGTCGTAAACAAATTTTTAGCTCAGCGGGGGAATACACTGGGAGAAATAGACGGGGTTGGACGGCGAGGAAGCGCTGCCGGTTGGACACTGGGTTTTGTGGCCAGCGGAAGCTTTGCTTAAAACAAAAGCCCGGCCAGCTTGGAATAAAAAAAATTTGGAGTGGAAGTGATAAAAGGGAAAAAGCACCGGAAAAACCAAGGCATAAGGCCATAACAACAGAGGGAATGGTTAAAAGTCCGGGTGGCGAAAATGAAAAGAAGCATCTCTGGCCTGCTAAATTGCTCAGAAAAGGCAAACTAATTAACCAAAGTTTGACTCGAGACAGGGCCAAGTTCAGGAATCCAGCACAAATTGAGCAGAAGATTTGCGGTCCTGTCCTTCGAGCTGGGAAGCCCCACAACAAACTTAAGCTGAGGGCCCAAACAGTTTAAGGAATGTACTTAAGGGAAGGTTTTGCATAGGTACCTCTTAACACAGTTATTTTGGCAGTTTGCGACTCGTAAAACAATTTACAAAATATAAAATTTACTATAGATATGAAACTTCTTCTTAGATTAACAATACATTCAAATCATAATTTAAATTTAAATAAACATTTTTTTCCTATATTTTAGCATCTTTTAAGTACAGTTCTGATAGTTTGTATATTTAACGAACCTACTAAGACAGTAAAAAGTCCTTATTTCGGCATTGTGGCACCCAAAGTTCGAAGCGAGAGATTGGTGCTTGTGAATAAGCTTAACTCCTTTGCCAGATCCACTTTTTCGCCCTGTCCACAGCTCGGCGGCACACAAAGGAGCATTCAAGCAGCGCACAATAATGGGGCGTATACGCAATAAAACTGCAAGAGGCCCGCACGAGCGCACAATGCCGGGGTTCCCCGTTCATGGGTCACCCCCCCCGTTGTTTGCCATCCATCCTCATCTCTGGCCATACTCGAACACTCAATAATGCTCGTTTTTGTGTGTCAAAGGTCCACTCGAGAAACCAAACAGCAGCATCAGAAGGAGCAGCAGCACCAGAGGACCAGAGAAGAAGGATTTGAGTGGGCGGTTGTGGGCCGCAATTGGATTTTCTATTTAAGCCTCCGCCGAGGCATTCGTTAATGGCCCGAACGCAGCGGTTCGAGAGCGTTTTTATGGGTCAGTCAACACAACAATGCGCGGCGCACAATGGCATGTGTGCGGCTGTGCCACAAATCAACATATCTCGGAAAAATATCCCCGTGCCCCACTCAATGCGATACTCACACATCACTTTCAGCTCGACCACATTGGAGTCCCCGTCGCCCTCCACATTCGAGGCGGTGCAGGTGTAGTTCCCGGCCTGGTGACGGGTGACACCCTGGAGGGCCAGGTCGCCGCTGCTCACAATCACGCCCGCTCGCTGGTTGTGCTGGATGATTTGGTGCTGCAATTGGCGGGATTAGTCATAATTAAAGGGATTCCAGAAAAATATATGTACGTAAATGGCAGATAATCGGATAGTTGGGGAGAGAGAATGCTAATTAGATTTTATTCATCGTAACCTGCTGATACCTTCACTAAGCTGACTGAGTATGAGCTTTTCATAACCTGGATGAGGTATATGTCATGAGCTTAAGAATTCTAGGAAAATACCTTATGAGCTTAAACTACATTTTATGAAGAATTTTTACTTTATAAGTATTCTATTCATATTTTAAATGCATATAAAAATTAATAGAATTTAAAAAATTACAAATAAAAAAGGCTTACAAGATGTATATATCTTTAAAAAACTGGCATAAACAGTATTCTCCTCCAACAAGATCGATTCACCTGAGATTTTCTTTTAAAACTAAGTGTGCTTAGCCAGCTTCTTTCACTTTTATCCCTGGGATACAAGGTCACCCATCTGCGAAACTTTTCGCCCTCCAAAAAAGCTCTCATAAATGCGCGCATCAGTGAGTTTTGCCCCGCAGCTTCATTAGGGAGCTGCGCCTTGGATGGCTACGTGCTTGGCATCGATACTGAAATATCAGTCGATATTTACTTTAAGTTTTCCCTTAAACACACAACTTGCCACGCCCACCATACAGGTCTTGCCTTCACGCCCAAATGCTTACAGAGGCTTGACCTTCTGGCCGCCTTTTCCGCACTTTCCCACACTTTCCCGCACTTTCGCTCTCATTTTGAAATAATGCTCGAAGCCCGATGTTCGCCTTTTTGGTTTTGTAGCCTTTTCCCCAACAGGCCGGCACTCGACAACATTTTGACGCATTTCCCCAGAGCCTTGTGCCATTTAGCAGCAAAACAAATTCGCACTTTGCCCGAGCTCAGCAAACAAACAAGCGGCGTTTGGGAAGGGAATGGGGGCGGCAACAATGAAAGCATTGAAATAAATAGAAATAGGAATAAAAATGTATATAAATATGGTCGACAAAAGTCAAAAAGCCAGAGCCAGCCGAACAAAGCCTCGACGACCTTAGCACACATCCATACTGAGATGCCTATATCTGGATGTGTGAGCAAATAAATAGAAACAATGCAGCCGGGTAGGCAACCCAACACTTGGATAATAGTGCTTTCGAATACACTTGAAAAAAGGTTTTAAGCGTAATGAATATTTTACAAAAATATAGGGGAGAAACGGAGTTAAATTTTAAATGAATATGAACGAATCATATAAATATAAAGCATTTGCCGATGTAATCTCCCTATGTTTAATTTCTAAAAACAGAACTTATTCTTAAAAAATGTCTTATTTAAGTTATAGCTCCCAGATAACTACTTGTGATAGTTTAAAGTGTATATAATAGCCGGAGGATAACTAAGGCGGGTTGGAAAGATGGAAGATGAGACGGCGGGGCCAGAGTTCATATTCGAATGCATTGGGGAGGGATAGTGGATCCTGGGAATAGCATGCCGCGTCTTTTGTTTGGTAACCTCTGGTGTGTGCCCTTTCCATTGTGCAGATGTAAACAATTATTTAGATGGTTGGACACATACGGTGAACGCCGGGTCACGACAATATTTGCTCACCATTCACATTTCGGCTATTGAATTCCATTGGCATTGTTGCGGAATGATTGATACTATTGGCCAAGTGTCAGTGCTATCGGAATCCAGATTGCAGATACAGCTGTATCCATTACATATGCAATGCTTTGTTGCCATTAGCATTTCCCTCGATTGTTTAAAGATCCTTAAAGAGCCGAAGAGCCCCAGAGGCGTAGTGCGGCCCCCAAAACCCCGGGAAAGAACCCTGCTCGTTTTCCGCACAGCCTCAATTCCCGCAGGGTCTACTTAAATAGCCCAAATGGGAAAGGGAACGAACTGTGGCCTGGCTCAGCGACCTTGTTGTCATAAAACAAATAAAAATGTCGCCATGCATATACGAAAAGTAAATAGAGTTCAAGGTTGTGGCAGCCAAAAAAAAATAAAAGGAGACTAACCAAAAAGTGTAAACAAAGGCAAATAGAAGGCTGAAAAGAAGGTAGGCCTGCAGAGCCGTTACGCCCGAATGGGCGTTGAGGATTATATCAAATAGTTTGGGGCACATCCGCTGCAGAATTTCCGCCCGCCAACCACCGCCACCCGTTCGAGGTCGCCACCCCCACCCCCCCAAAAAACCACCCACTTCCCGCTGACTTGATGATGTCTGCACAACCCTTTAGTGCCCCTCAATGCTAATGGCGCATTTTATGCGTTGCCATTTCTGTTTGTCTGTCTCTCGGCCGTGTTTTCGACTTGTTTGCCAGCCACTCCTCAAGCGCCAAGAGCCATGGGCCATGGACTTCGGGCCACAATCCAATCCAGGCCGCCCTCTTCTGCTCGTCTGTCACTGGTGTTTGTTCCGACTATAAATACCCAATTAGTGTCCGTAATTTATCTGATGGCTCGGCCTGATTGAGTTGATTTGGCTTAGTCCTTCCCTGGGCGCTTTTTACTCGGCTGCTCTTCTTTAAAGTTGATCTTGGGAATTTTAAATTAGCTCGTACACTTCTTCCGCTCGTTGATCCTTATTTTAACAAATAATTTATAACTCATTTTCAAAAAGTTATAATCTAAATATGAAAATAGTAAAATCATTTGTGATAAATTATCTCGCAGATTTCTAAATCACAAAATTAAATAGCAGCTAAAATGTATATCCTAAACTAAATAAAATATTAGCAATAATTTGAATTGAAACCAATAAGCAAAGCATTTAACTAAATATGTTATTCTTCAATTATGAAATTCATTTGATTGGAAATATGAATGTGCGTTAGCCCAAACTTGGCTGTTCAGAATTCAAAATACAGAATAATAACATTTATTTAAATCAATGCAAATTTCAAACTGCCTTTATGGTTCGACCAACCAACCATTGCCGTTTGCCTTGTGGAACTATGTAAATATTTATGCTCAAGTTGCTGCAAAACTCTAAAGTCGTTTCCACCGACTTTGTTCTCTAATCAAATTTTCCGGCTATGTTTGCTATTTCTGCGGTTCCTGAAGCCACTCAGATAAATGCGAGTGTGTGGGCCAAATAAGTTTTACTGCCAACAGAATTCGGATTCATTCGGAGTGTATAGTATATAGCTGGTTGCTCTGGCAACGATTCCATCAAAGTTCTGCTCCTTCTTCGGCTTGTTGTTGTTAATGAACATGTGAAAACTTTTACTCGCACGCACAGACAAGAACTTTCACCCCAGTTTGAAGTGTGTGTGTGCAAGTTTAATAAAACTAATTGTTAATTTAATTTGCCAGCTCGTCGTTAATTGTCAGCTTGTCTAATTGAATAATAACAGACGAAGACAAGTTGCCAGCGCTCCACTTTGGCCCTGCGGCTGTTCGGCGAAGAAGAATGGGTTCATTGCAAACCGAATCGATGTGGTGGCAAAACAAAAATTAATTTACTTGCTAACTGGCTGCAACCGAGTTGATTTAACTTGATTTGACTTTTAATTGCATTTGCAGGTTGCACTGTCGGCCTTGCGTTGCTGTTGCCAATTAACAATTGACTTTTAATGAACGCCCGACTTGGCTTCTTCGCCTTCGCCACTTTGGCCCAAGTCATTTGCAATTTTCCGCTTGGCCTTGAACTCATTACGCATACGCCATGTGCACAGCTCGACCAAGTGTGGCTGTCTGTCTAACCTCTGAGCCCTTCTACCACTATTTTCCCGGGTGTGTGTGCGTTTGCTGGCTTAGTTTCGTATCCATTTCATTTCCATTTTTGTACTGCCGCAGTGAACTTTTATTGTTATGACACTCGGCTAAGAGGGAAAAGTGCGAGGGCGGAATGTGTGGGGGATTTCACGCTGAGCTGGGTAAATGTAAGTGACGATTGCCAACTAACTAACTAACGGTTTCTGGCTTGTTAGCCAGCATACATATTCTGTACCTCGCAAAGGGGGTTTACTAAGGCTTAAACCTCCTAATAAAATAAGATTGATTTTGAGTACTTTAAGGGTCTCAGATTTCTTATATAAAAATAAAATACTTTAACAAGTTAACCTTCAGTTAAAGTGGTAGTTAAACAGTTTTGTTTTTGTTGTTGAATATCCCTTTAAGTTCTTCTAGGGTATTTGAGTTTCGATTCTGACCATTTCTGCTGTCAGTTGATTTGCATTTAACATTGACTTCTAAAGCCATTGATTGCCCCTTTCCCTTTCCCATCTCCCTCTACCTTTCACTTTCTCCATCTCATCTCTATCCCCCGTATAATTAGCATTTTGTTTCGTTGTAAGATGGATTGTAATGTAATCAGCACTCGAATGAACCATCCCATTGTCTCTCTCTCGGGCAAATTATTATTTCATATAAAGTTTTTATCTACCTACCCTGTTCCCTGGCAAATGTCTTGTGGAAGTTCTTTTGTACTAAATATCCTCGTTTTCCCACTCCTACTACCAAAAAGTTTTTGGTCGTCTTCGAGTATTTGTATTTGCTTATTGTTGTTTTGGTAAAAGTTATGACTAAGTTGTTGGCTTTGCTGTTGGCCGTTGTTTAGCTTAGCTCTTTGTTTGGTCATGTACTTCATTGTGAATGAATTCAATTAGCATTCATATTATTCATACACTTGATTCGTTTCTTGTTCGGCATTGAATAACATTTATTTGGCAGCCATTGTTGTTGCCGTGGTTCGAGTTCCTCGTGCTGCCACTAATAAACAAATGATTTGCCTTCTAAACTTGTACTTGGACTCCCGAAGTTCATTTTCCCCCTGATCCCACGACCTGTCTCTTATGCCAGCCACTTGAGTCAATTGCCTTAAAATAATTGGCCAATAATTCAGTAAAAATGACCACTTAATTTCGGTTTCATAATAATTTACCCAGCCGGAGAAAGGCTCTCGTGTGTGGGAAGGCACGCCAATGTCTTGGGAATTGCCGGAAGTTCGGCAGTTGTACGCTCAATTGCCTTGAGTGCAACATTTGAAGTATGTTTGAAGGTCAGTAGACGAGAAAAATCCTAATCAAATTTTTAAATAATCATAAATTTATGTGTTGTTTAAAACTTAATATAAATGTGTGGTTTTCCAAATCTAATAATTGGAAGATATATTTATATTATATTATTATTTACTATCAAAACATTTGTATACATTTTTTTCTGTGCATCTGAAGATGTTTATGTGTCGAAGTTTCGAAGGGCGAAAATAATATATTTTATATGGCACTAAAAGGTATTTTTTGCCAAAAGTTTACTTTACACTTTAGACCATTCTCATTCTCTCCACCGCCTTTTGTATCTGTCTCGATAAAGAGTGCTCTTCCATTTCGAAGAGCCCTTCATAAATATTGCAAGTCAAGAAGAGTTTTTGTTTGCTCACTTACATTATGCTTCCATACAACTTTATAAGCAGCCGGATTTGCATGCACTTTGCACTCGAAGTAGACATCATCGCCTTCCTCGATATCCTCCGGATTTAGATTGGAGCCCAGGTCCAGCTGCAAGGTGGGTATGACTGCAAAGAAAGTGGTGTTGGTGGGGTAGAGCAAACAAAACACTGGATGAGCATTGTATTCATTTGACTAAGGCAGGGACTTAGACCTGGATTGGGATTCGCTCGGAGGAGTGTCCATCAAACGTAATTTGCTGTTTTGGACAATCCTTCGGCTCGAGCCCAAGAAAGGCATAGAATGGGTGGAAAAAGGGGGTTAGTCCGGACTTATCTGTGATTAGTGTCGCTTCGTCTCCGCCCTCTATCTATTCTATCTATGTATCTTGGCCCTGCCCCCGGCTCTTGGCCACCTTCCACTTGTTTATTATTATTTTGCACATTGTTTTTGGCAACTTTCCCTGCTCTCCTAGTTTTGGTCTTCGGTCTCCCTGTCTCTGTCTCTGTCTCTTTCTGCTTAGCGCTGCTGTCTTTTTCTTTTCTACTTTCTGGGGTGGCACGTTCTATAAGCAAGTTTCTTTAAGCCGATTTCGTCTTTTGCAAAGACTTGTTAATGAAAATGAAAAGTGCTTTAACACACACCATCTCAGAAGTGGAAAGAGAATGAACGTAAACCAAATGAAGGGGGTGTATGGGTGGCAAGGACAATGAGGACAGGAAGAAAGAGTCAAAGCAGTTTGCATAATTTAAAGACTTTTCCCCAGCATCGCTCTTTCCCGCTCAGTGTGTCTGTCTTTTTCCCGCTCAACAAGTTCATTAGCGATGACTTTAAGCCGGCATAGAAACTAAACAGAAACGAAAGGACAAGGGAAATAAAGGATGTTCACTTAGGAAAAATATGTGACTTAAAAAAAGGAGAGGGAAAAAAATTCTTTAAATTTTAAGTCAATTAAATAATGTATAATATCAACGAAAAATATACAGGTTGATTTTATGCTAAAATGTTTTAAACACAAAATATTTAAAATGTTGAAACTAGTAAAAAACAAAACATTTTAGTACCATAAACAAATCTCAATTAAATAAGTAATTGAAAACTCAAGGTAATATAATTCCATATACGCCTTTCATTTTTTCCACTGCATAATGACAGTGAGATATCCTTCGAAGGAAGTTCCAAGTGGCTGGCAGGCCACACTGTTGCGGTTAGGATGGGCTTAAGTGGTAATAACTGTCACTGGCCAAGCTGGCCAACTACGTCTGGCTAATGCATTTTATGGTCCTCCATCTCGGTGACCCCCTTCCCGATCCTTTGTGGGGTCCAGAGTGTCCCGAAAACGAGTGGAAAAACCAAAGCAAGCCCATCCCAGTCGTAGCTGCAGCTTAACGTAACGACTTTTGAGTGCCAGTGCCACATTATGTTGCAGCTGCAATTGCAATTGGAAGGACTGTGTATCTATGTATCTGTGCTGCCAGTGTGTGGGTGTTTGCACACGAGTGTGGGTGGGGCCTGTCATTGTCTATTGGCCCTAAGTTGAACCAGTTCTCGTTAGCAGTCTTAAATTGATTCCACTAGCCTCTATAGCTGTATAAATTGCATCGGGCTGAAAGCTTATTTCAGGCTTCCTATTTTCCAATCCTTTTTGAGTGTAATTTAGTTATATCGAAAAGTTTGCAATACATTTTCAATGCAATTAGATGTTTGTATTTTTTATACGGAAGCATTAGACTCCATTAAAAATAGAATTTACTTTTTTATTTTAAACCTACCCTAGGTTTTAAAACAAAACTTTAATAATTTATACTTGCATAATAATAAAAGCATTGTACCTTCCTGTTCTCAAACTGCTTTTCATCCAGACCTTGGTTATTTCGAAACAAAAACCTGTCTCGTCATTAAGTTTATTGCGGATATGACTTTAATTTTTGTAGGCCTGACTTTTTCCGTTGATTTAATTTTCGGAAGCCTAACCTGAGTTGATTGTGTGGAAAATAAGAGGTCTGCCGGCGCTGAGGTTCTCTGATTAAGATATTAGAGATAACTTTTTTATGGCCCCGGCTAAATGTGATGTAATATAATGAGAAAATTATTGGCTGCGTCAACTTGAACCTGCCCCATCTCATCTCTGGCGGCAGCCGACATTGCATCAACTTTTCAATTTACCCCCGTCGCAGGAGGCAAACAAAGAACGCGCTTAAAAAAGACACAAAATCTTCTCCATGGAACGAGTAAGGTCGGGCGGGAAATATGAAATCTCAGGAAGTGTCAGGAGAAGGAAAACGGAGGGGGAACAAAATATTTTAAGCACGCTATAAACATGTAAATGAGCATGGAAATTGAAATTGTTATCTAATTTTTTATATCAGCGCTCGCGCAGAAGCTGCGCCCTACGCGTTCGCACAAGACGGGCCAGCACTGAGAGAAAAACGGGGTCTTAAAAATTTATCTAATTTTTCAAGCTAATCTACAAAAATTGGAACCATCTGGATATGGATTTTTTTAAAACGGAATTTTAGATCCTTGCTTAACATTGTATAATGATATAATCATGAAAAATATTTTTATAAGATATTTCTTATTGTAAGATTTGTATTCTGATTCCAGAGCCCGTTTTTCTCAGTGCATCATCTGCAGCAAACCGGGGAAGCAGCCCCATCATCTCGGCAGCCACCGAAAGGAGTAAAAGTTTCAATGACATTGGGGAACAACAGGCGGCAAGCTTTTTAGATAATAGACGTGGCAACTGTTTGCCCAAGACGCTGTCGTCACAGCCCAGAAGATGAGGACACGAGGGCCCAGGACTATTGAAACATTAAGGGTTATCCGCGCATATGTGTGTGTGGTGAGTGGGTGCGGGTTTGGGCCTGGCTTAAAGTGAGCTTTTCCGGCTTGTCGTATAGTGTGTGCACAACTTCCTTAGTCGCGCGTTCGCTTGTTTTTAATATTTTGCCATAGAAATTTTATTAACAAACTTTACCCCCCAGCCGCACATTGTTGACGCGGGCCATAAAACAAACGTTTGACATACGAGCCTGCCGAACGCAAAAAAAGAATTGAATGTATTATGTAAAGCCCGCCGATATTCGGAACGGGGTTCCGAAATCGCGCCTCCCGCCTGTTATGTCACTATGGCATTGGTATGCAAAACAGTATTGATTCCCCAAAGGACATGGGCGATAAGCGGTTGACATAGTTTATGGGATCGCACGAGAACCAGAACGAGGGGCCATCGATGGTTTATGGGGCACTCATAAAGCAGAGCCATATGTCAAACGGGGGTGTTATTAAAGCGGAATGGGCCGTTTGTTCCTGGTACACGGAATATTTGGGGGGGAACAAGCACTGGCTATGATTCGTTTTAGGCCTAAAAGGGGAATTATATAGGTGACCTCATTAAATAACAAAGAAATTATAATTTAGTATACACAGTATTTAAAATCATTTAAAAAATTCATGGTAGTTTTAGATATGTAACTTTTACATTAGATTTTCAATGAAATAAAATAGGCATTAGACTTCTGGTCAATAAAACATTTATATTAAATATTTTCCCTTTAATCCTTATTTTAATTGCAGGCTGTTTGCAATATTTTCATTATTAATGTATATGGCAACCGTAATGTTAATTCGTTTAATGGCTTTCTTAATAAGCGTAATTAAAACGTTTCAGTATCGATTGAATTATTTATTAAAAATATATTTCTCTTGTGGTTCGTTGATATACTTACAGAAAACATTCAACTTCATAGCCGTTTCCCGAATGCCATTGCGAACGAGTTCATTGGTTGCCCGGCAGGATAATGCCTTGCCATGATCTTCTCTGGTGGGTGTGATCGATAGCACCGAAGTGCTCACATTGCCGTCCTCAGAGACCTTGGGAAATATATGAGTTTTAATTATGATATAATATACCTTATAGAAATGTACCTTTTGACTGTGGCCATGCAGCTCGAGGTTGCCCATCCACCAGGTGATTTTGGCCGGGGGCCTCGATCCGATCGCCTGGCACTCAATCTCGTACTTTCGATCCGCTGACATCGGCTGATTGTTGAAGCTGATTTCCACCAGGAGAGGCCGCACTGCAATGCAAACAGTTTGTTTATGAACGCGCATTAATTTCCATCGTTAATTTATTTGCTTAAATGACATTTAAGGTTGGTTTTTACTATCCCCCCCCCCACCACTCACACACTTTTCTGGCTTTGTTTTTCGCTTTCTGTATTCCTGTATTTTGTTTGGTGCGACAGCAGCTTTTTGTTGATTTATTCAAATTGTGTGTGAAAAATCGAAATCGAAATGGAAATGACAGGCAATGCAATTAAAATTAATTGCAACAAATTACGATTGCCACCAGCAACGGGAACTGCAACAAGAACAACCGGGGAAATGCAACAATATCGAGCATAGGGCAGCAAATATTTCTGTTTTCCACAAAAGGGACGCATAATATGAAATGATAAATGTCAGGCGGAAAAGGCAAAGGAACCGACACGAAATGCAACGAGGCAAGGCATCAGCAATTTCGTCCATATTTCCAATATAATTAAATATTTATTTTCGCAGAAAAACAACGAATACTTAATCAAAAGTTAATCATTACGGGTAACAATTATAATTGCAAAAATCTCCTATTAAAGGTGGTTCATTCGTTCTGATTGAGCAAATTTATCGAAGCGAAGGCCTTAAAAAGCCTGATGGAAAAAGCATAATTTCCGAAACGCAATTGAAGACTGTTTAATAAACAAATGGGCATATGGCCAATTGGCATAGACCATAGTCAGATTGCTAGATCACAAACAATGCATTAAATTTCAGCCAATAAATATTCATGCAATTACATTTATGTAATTTGAATATTTGTTAATATTCATGTTGACAGCAATTTGTTTACCCACAAAATTGAAAATGGCCCAAACAAATAAACAATAACAAACATATTTTTTTCCGCCATCCAAATATGGTCACGTAGAGCTTTGGAGTCCAGGTTCATTATCAGCATTACACAATTTCCCATCGTTATCGTTGTCATTGCGATTGTTTTTGCGCTTCTCGCCTCTAGTTTTTTGCGCTTTGCTGAATTTGTAGGAAATTATGAATTACGCTATTTGGTTTTCAATTGGAAATTTATTGCAATGTGGTGAGTTATTCTGGGAAATAATATTTGCAGGGCCATTATTGTTTGTATAGGGTTTTATCGATTTAAAGGTTCGCCCTTCGAAGCCTTTGGTGAAGTAATCTTATTCACAGTATTCACTCTTACTTTGTGTAAGAAATTAAACCGATTAGAGGTATCATTTTCCAGATGCCTTTAACATATTTCCTGCAATTTAACGAGTTAAGCCAACTGTTGTTACTTTTTTCCGTTGTTGTTACATTTGCTGCGGTTGGCCGCGCATTTTATGCGTTAATTTAAAGGCGTGACATTTCAGTTAAGCCCAAATGCGATAATAAAAATGGAAAACCAAAGGGAGATGCCTGGCAACTATCTACAATTTTATTTATTTCAATGCCGTTTACAGTTTTTTTTTCGCCTGCATACATTACAATATTATTCCGCGTTTTTTTTTAATGTTTTTATAGGCATTGACGAGGTTTCCATGCGGTTGTTGTTGCTGCTGCAGCAATGCTTTATTGTAATTAAATTAATTATGCACATTTGCATTGGAAATCATTTAAATGTTTAATTAAACGCACTACACCAGCGAGCATAGAAGAGCCCAGGCCCCAAGGACTGAATGGCAACCAATTATGCAAACAGATCCATTAAATTGTTAAAGGCTTGAAGAGCGAAATCTGCAGAGGTCAAATTCAAAGCGAAAGGAAAGTTTAATTTTAGCGACAGCTTATTTTTCACTCAAAATTTTAAAGCGTTTGACCTTTTAATTTTTGATTGCATAGCAGTCAGGTAAGATTGATGATTGATCTGATCCCTAGTTGCAACCAAAATTTAATTCAATTAAGTATTGCATTTCGAATTCGACCTGCCCTTTTGGGGCCTTAAATTGTGTGCTAATGAGGAACTCTCATAATTGTTTTGGTTTGGGGGACCGAGTGTCGTGACGGGCGTAATCTAATTGTTAGTGGCCATAAAATTAACTAATTAAGGTCGTACTTATTATTCAACTGGCCCGTTTCCCATGCTTCCATTCTGTCATTACACGCAAAGCGGAATAAAAACAACAGAAATTATGTAGAGGAAAAGTGGATAGACCTGGTTAGAAGTCCACCACTTTTCCCTTCTTTTCAAGGTCATTTGTTAATCGTAGTACGAAACTGTGGCCACATTAATTGACCAAGTTAGCGACATTCCACCGCCTCATCTTGGGCTCTTCTTATGGGCGTGTTAACTTTTATGTTCCCGCAAGTGCGACATATTCTTATGCTTTCACCAACATTTTCCCGAAACTCAGGGCAATAATATCAAATATGCGCATCACCAGCTGCTGTTGCTGGAACATTTCGGCATTATTTTCCGTGAAATGGGAGCCTCCTAAGTAGAAATTGACGTCCAATTGCTTTGGCGTTTTGAGAGCCATGACAGACGCGCCAAAGTGCCATAAAATTCTATGGCCAATCTTTGGCTGTTAGCGCAATGCCATGGGCCTAATAACCAAGGATCCAAAAAATATTATATCTTGGCGGATGGAGAACATGATGAGGTAGAAGGAATCTAGAGGTTCGGCAAAAAGTTGGCAGCTAAATGGACTTAATTTGATTGAAACCATGACTCGCAGAGGAGAAAACTAAGATACTAAGTATTACAAAACAAGGTTCCCTTCTTCCGGATTAAATCATACACATTTTTTTAGCAGATTTATCTGCCTCAAAAACCTTATGTTTAATGGTCTTTTCCCTAAAAAAGCTGACAGAATTTGCAAATACATTTTAGTCACAACGAATATATTTTTTGCAAACAGCTTTTCCGAACAAAAATCTCTTCACCACTCACACTCGCACTCGGGCACTCGAAATTGGCAACAATTTAATTCAATTTAACAATTTGCACAGCCCCTGCTCGTGGAGAGCATGGAAAAAGGGCATTTAAAAAATTGTCACAAAATAATAAATCCATTCGGGTCATGCACAGTCCACTAACCTGAACGCAACTTCTATATTTTCCAAAAAAAAAATAAATGAAAACACGGTCAGTTCGATATGATGTTGGGTTCACAATATGTGCCAGGTCAGAGGCCACGGTAGGTAGGATAAGTTACGCACTGGAATTTCTGTTTTCCCTATTCGCTGTATATTTTTTTGGTATTTTTTGGGTATCGCATGCAATGTTACTGCTGTGTTGCCGTTTGCATTTTGTTATATTTGCATAAGCCATTTTATTATCTATTTTTTTCCTGCTCAGCCTCTCTGGGTTTTTCCTTAGTTTATATTTTTTTTTGGGACGTCGACTGGTTGGTTCGTTTTTATCTGCGCAGCTATTTGTTAAAACTTTTATCGCAATGCTTAAAACCGAACAACAAAAGCAAGAGCACACAATCAGGATCAGAAAAGAGTGAAATATATACAATAAATAAATAAATTGTTTGGCAAAACGCTTTTAGCACCATATTTGGGTCGTTTTAAATCGCTTCAATGCTGGAACAGTTTTCCATTTTTTTAATAATAGACTGGAAAGTCAGAAGGCCTAAATCTGGGCAACTAAAAATGTGGAAAAGAAAATAAAGCTTTGCTTTTCAAGTCGTTTTAAACGAAATCCCTAGAACGCAGATTATTTTATTTTACAAAAACCCCGTTCTTATACTCACGGTAGAGCTCGATGGTTATGTTGGTGGCCACATATTTCTTGTGGAAATTGCTGGCCTGGCAGGTGTAGACCGCATGCTGGTGGATTCTTGACAGGTTGCGAACCACCAGCTTGCTGTTGATGGCGCCATCGTATGTGTAATCGACAACGCTGTTCTGCAGCTGCCCATTCATCAGCCAGATGACAGTCGGCGGGGGAGACCCTGAAAAGATGGGGGATACGAGGTTTAAATTATTATTAAATATATAAATTGAAAGGGGAATAAAATGTTTAATTTAAGATCCCAAAACCATGGTAATTGTAATGATCTGTAGTTAAAATGAATTCCTTCTTTATAAAAATCTATAAAACTACGTTCCGTATCTAATACTCCTAAAATCCCTTGCCCCATTTTCTCAAGATTGACTCGTTATGACTGAAATTATCCATCAACTGGCTTACAGTGCCTGTTATAATCTATCCATAGAACCTCTAATTTAGTTAGCTGGTGGGGCTTGTTGACTAGCCACCACAGTGGTGCAATTCCTGGTGGGGCAAGGAGGGCCACTTAGACCAACACACAGACTCACAGCCACATTACTCATACGCAGCGTGCGGCACTTGGCCACTTTTAACGACTTCAACTTAATCAAGCGCTGAAATTAGCTTTTGTGTGCGTATATGAGCGCACATTAATTTAATAGCAACGGGTGGTCGGTCACTCATTCGAAGGAGAGCAAATAATACACTGTGAAAAAAATAATAAATTAAATGTGCAACTCGCTGGATTAAGTGGATTACCTTCTCAAGTTGATTGTTTGTCATTTCAAGACCGTAGACATTTAATTAGATTTTATTTGATGGCTAGAGCTGTCTAAACTTTTCTGTCAGTGTCAAAAGCGGTGACACAAATAAATTCTCTGACAAGCTTGTTGTGTATTTTTCTATTATTACTTAGTTATTACGCAAAATGCTTGATTAGCAGCCATAAAAAGCAATGCGACTGAACAAGTGCCATTAAATCCACCTGGAAATTCACTAAAACTAAGCCACGGATGGGCCAAAAACTGCACTTGATATGTTTGAAAAATGTGTCGCTCAGGCTCACATATAGATTTTCATATATGTATATGCGGCTGTACAGTGGAGGTAAACGCACATTACTTTGATTAATAACTGCCATTTGGTAGAGTTTTATGTTGTTTATGAAAATATTTCACATGTGTGTGTGTGGGTTTGGGCCAGAGTAGATTAGCGCATGTGTAGCAAGGCGGCTTAATGGTTGTCGGTGATTTATTGGCCTCCCCTCGAACAGGAATACAATGGTAGAAATAGTACAAAAAAACATTGGACTGCCACAGAAAGTGCAGTAAAAAGTGTGATTTGGTATGGCAATTGTTGATATCCTTCTAGCATTTAAAGCATACATCCCCTTTTTGAGAATTCCAGTGACTCTTGCTTTCAGCTTAAAGTCAGAGCCAAGTTTGCTTCCAAAGGGGCGGGGAATGTCTGCTGTTTTTTAATGTCAACATAAGGTGCCACAGCCCAAAGAAACGCACACAAACATACACACCAGCAGCTGACTTGCATTTACTCTGCATACAAACACACTCAAAGTTTGCACTACTTAGTTTTTTACTCTTTCTCCCTGCTTTCCTTTCTTCTAACTTGCATTTTCATACTCTTGTGAAAGGATTCTTACAATCCGTAAAAAATATGGAAAGTACCATTTTCTAAAAATATAAAAACATTTATTTTTGCATCTCAAAAGACCTACCAAAAATATTTACATTGCTTACTTAATTACTGAAAATTTGGGTAACTAAATAAACTATTTTTGTATAAAGAAATGATACTATTTTTATTATTTTAAGTGGCCATTGTTTCGAAATATCTATTTTGCAGACCATTTTACAAAGACGTTCTTATTGGAAAAAAGGAAAATATGTTTGTATGATAAAATGATACTATTTCATTTTATAAGTCGCCATTGTTAGAAATATTTGTTTTGGTAGACTATAACACAAAGAAAGAATTCAATTCGACTTATACCTATTAAAGAGTATTTTTGCCATCGTTCCTCAAAAAAACCAAGCTCTTCTCTTTTATTTCCTTTTGCTTTTTTGCCAAGTGCTTTGCCATTTTTAGAGCAGGCATCAAAAAACGGGTTTTTGTGCCAGGCAGCAGAAAAGCAGTAGAAGCGACATTAGCATTTCTTTGCCATGTCCACCTGGCGAGCACCTGCCCACCAGCCACCACCCACCGCCCACATCCCCGCCCACTTCCTAATGAGCGGCAGCATTCAAATGCGTGCCAGTTTTTAGCGTTTCCTTTGGCGGAGACTTTAAGCCAAGTCCGACTCACTTATGCACTTTTGCACACACGTTACCAGGGCTCAAAGAGTCCTTGTTTCGCGTTCTGTTTACCCACAATGCACGGCGGGAAGGAAATACCATCTAAAATAGCTGGCAATAGAAATCTCTTCAAAAAAATATATAAGAAATTTTCTACCACTACAAATGTTATAAAAAAATGAAGGCTGCATTACTTTCAGATAGATGTGATTTTCTTTCTCAACCTTTATGACAAAATCTATTTTGATTGTGACTATGTGATTTTAATTCAATCGAAATGATCATTGCTTTTCATCTCAGCACTTTTTACACTTTCCTGCCATAAGTTTATTTCATTTTAAAGAATTAAATAGTTTTAAGACCTGATGATGGCATAGTACTAGTGATATTGTTGTTAATCTTTGTTTCATGTGTAAAAAGAAGAGGGAACCACATGAAAACTTAGACCATTCGCTTTAGTTATGCAATGCTGAAATATTTGCTTGTTTAGTTTTGCATATCTTTGCATCTCCTGCATCTGTTTTGGCTTTGGATTTGTCTCGGCTGAAATAGATACACTGCCAGAAACAAGGGTGTGGTGGGGGTGGGTCCCCATGAGAACCAAGCTCTTAAGAAAAAGAAGAAAAAGCAGCAAAAATTTAGAGCTTTAGTAACATGCAGCTAAAAAAAGTAAAAGGAGGAAACTCTGCTATGCCACATAAATATATTTTATGTTGTTGTCTTTGGTACACTTTCTGTTTATTCAGTTCGCATACCCTCCGACCCTCCCCTCCCCTTCCCTTTTTTCTGCTTTTGTGTGCTCTTTGGCATTTGACCTTTTGTCCAGTGAGGAAGCTGTAAAATAAATTTAAGGCTTGCCGGCTTCGAGGGTCCTTTTAAAGGACAACAGAAACTGCCACACTCAATTGTCATTTGTACTTTGTTTATGAAGTAAGGCGTTGAATACCTACTTTCTCAGTCAAAATTAAATATTTTTTTGAAGGCACAAACATAAGGAAAAATATAATTACTGGCACTTTCAAGGTTTTATACCTCTTATGGCGCCATTACAGAAAAGCCATAAATGAAAAATAAATGAAGTTGAAATTATGCAAACTTTTGTGGCAGACAATATACTATTTCTTTCACCCCTTCGTCCCCTTAAGTATTTCCCCCCATTTTTTGTTGGTCCTATTTTCCCTTTAGTAAATAACTTGTGTTGTTGCATGGCTCCGTATTGTTGCACTTCCGTGCTCCAAAATGTGCCACAACAACAGGCCAACAAAAGTAGTCGTAATAATAATAATAACAACACGAGAAAAGTGAAGAGAGAAATTTTTATAAAAATGCACACAATTTTGTACTCGGCAACCTGCCTAGAACAACAACATACAGCAAACACAATAACAATATGGCCAACGCTCACTTTGGCCAAAGCGGAAAACGCCTGCACTTCCGTTTGACACACAGAGCGAAAAAAAAGAAAGGAGGGTAAAAGCCATTTTTAGCACACTTTTAGTATGCTGGGAATGCCAAGGGGGTATATGGGTTTTTGGCTGGATATATTTGCTACCCAAGATTGGTAAAAATCCTTGAATATTATATTATTATAAGACCATAGATCCCATAGATCCAAAATAGGCATTTCAGACAACAAATAATATGATTAAACTGTTTAATTTATTTTTTTAAATATTCTTTTATTTAGGACACTTTAAATATCTTGTAAAAATGTATAAAGGCTTTTAAAAGATATATCAAAAGGGTAACCAAAATACTTAACCCAAATGTGACCCTTCCGTTTAGTTGATGTTTTCTCCCGCGAGCTGGTGCTTTCAATATATACTACACTATATGCTCCATGGAGTTTCTAGAGGATGGGAGGGAAATTGGAGTTGGAGGGGCTGAGACCACCGTGTGTAAAATTCATGACGTGCAAAAGAAGGCAACGCTGAATATTATGCATTAGTGGCCACATAAACCCAGGGTTTTCCACCGCTTTTCCCCCCCCCCCCCTTGGCATCCAATGCCACCGCACAATGGCTGCCCCACCGGGTTCCAATGTATATATTCTTTATGATTTGCTAGGGGAACTGGTGGCGGGGTAGATTGGTAATTTTTACTACCCACACAGACTGTGTGCTGGTTTATAACTTCATTTCGCTCCCCGTTTTTCGGGGCTGGCGTGTCGCGCTCATTTGCAATTGTGGCGGAGGAGGGCGTCCTCCTAGGCTGCAATAAAATTTACTGCTCCTTTGTCGATTTCGCACACTCTTAAGCCCAAGCCAACTGGCCTTCCCATCCACCAAGCACCAAGTACCAAGCATTTCCATCCCGGACCGCTCCTTCCTCATCGCCTGCCGCTTTTGACTTACTTCTGCTGATTGCACTTGTTTAAGTGGCAACTTTTTCAGCACTTTATGCTCCCACAGCCGCCCTCCTCCCTCCTCCCGGCTGCCCTTTTTGTTTTGGCCACAGAATTGCAATTTCTGTAATGGACATTGCATGTTGAATGCCAAAAGACCTGACCACACCAGACCCACCAGAACCGAAAGCGGCTAAGAATGGAAATGGAGACGGAGATGGTGCCGGTCTGAGCATAATGTCAGCATTTGCCTGCAATTTATTTCCGCCCGCTGTTTAAGATTTCAGTAGGACGGCAAGCATTTTCAATTTCACACCATTACCAAGTCGTTCCAACGTAATTGGGATGTTCAGCGGTTGAGTGAAGGACCTGTCCGGTAAAAGGATAATAGGTCTTATGTGCACTCAAAAAACTAAATGAATATTGATGGCTGAATATTCATAAGACTCATGGACGAGAAAGCCTTATTATTTGTAGTGTTATTTTCCGTAAACTTACTTTAAAATGTAAGCTACTCTATAATAACCTAGTACACTTCCCCATTTATAAAAAATACTTTGGTCCTTTAACAATCTTTTTTCTGTTAGTGGAATAAAATATTCCGCTTTCTTTGTAATCTAATTTAATTTGAGTGCACCCATTTTCCTTACAACTCGGATCAATTTGTTCGTTTCAACTGTCAACGAGCCTGACCACACACACTCACTTTCACCCACTCGTTTTGTACAAGTTTCAAGTACTCCAATTGCTTTCCCCCACCCCCTCGCTCATTTGCCAACATCAACAGACTTCCTTTTTGCTTGTCAACAACTTGGTTGTCCACTTTCCCCCTAGACCCTCCCCCAGCTTTCTCCCCCCATCTCGTATGTATTCACATTTGTACATTGGCAACATTTTCCTTGCCCCCATTTAATTGGCACATACAACATTTTGAGTGCCCAATTTTCCTGCTTTCTTTTTTTTCACCACCCCCTGTGGGCTCACCCCTTTCGCGGTTATTTTTTCCCCACCCCCCAAACAAAGTACCGCCCAGAAAACTACTGACCAGTTAACAGTTGCCGGGCAGTTTCAAGTGCAGTTTGCTGGCTTGGTGATTTATTTTATGTCAACGTTGACATGTCAAACCATTCAAAGTGGTTTCGCTTCCGCCCAGACCCAGAAAACAAAGGGGAGTACGCAGCGATAAAGCACGCGATTCCCGTTGGCTGGTGACATACTTATGTCGGGCACTGTGACGGCTTTCGAGAGAAAAACGCTCGGATTCTTGAATTCCTCGGAAAACTCTCGGACTCAGGGAAATCCGTTGGCAGCCTCGTATTTCTGGGGGAATTTATTCGATCAACCAATCTGTATTTTGGTTCTCATTAACAACAATTGACTTAAGGGTTTTCTGTGCGATTTCCAGATTGTACACGTTGGAAAAAAGGTTAATGCAAAACGGGGAAAATGTTATAAATGTTATATAAAAGAATATAATATGATATAATATTTTTATACGAAAAAAAAGATGGGAATAGCACAACTTGAGCAATGGAAATTTTTGTTAAATTTAAATAGTTAAAGTGTTAGAATATTCTTATTTCAAATCAGAGAGAAGTTGAACTGCTTAAATTTCTTTTAAGTTAAGTAGTAAACATTAAAGTTTTGATACTATTTTTTAGTATAAGTCTGTAAATTTGTAATCAAAATGTAGTATCTTCCTAAGCTGTACTTATTTTATCAGTATTTTCTCTGTAAGGCCTTTGTCAACGTATCACCCTGGGAATCATCGATAACAAGGAATGCTGACTTCTGCGGACCTTCTACAATTTTCTTGGCGTCCTACTCCTTTTTCCCTGTCGACAGCTCCTTTCTCTCGAGCACTTTTAATCCTTTTGTTAAGGCGACACATTTGCGAAATTAACTTGGCTCCCAGGACTCCTTGGCCCTTTCAATTGGCCTCTGTTTCACTGACATTTGTGTTTTCGCCTTCTTTACAATTGAACTTTACATTTCCTTATTTATTGTTTGTTGTTTATGCCCCTGCCTTTGTTTGCATGCCAACAAAGCTTAGTTACTCACCCCCTGCTACTAGCGCGATTTTAATTTTTGATTGTGTTCGTGCCGGATACTTTTATGTTTTTACAGCCACTTGTAAAGTTTAATTATTGATTGCATTTCGCAGAACTGGGCAATTAATATTTTATTTTGCCATAATTCCAGTGCCCCACATAAAGTTCCCAAAGTAACAGATCAGCATTTTGGGTACTCACCTCCGTAGACCACGCAAGTTACTTCCAGGCTGCCACCCTCTTCATAAGGACCTGCCCTCGAATCGATTCGCAGGCGTCTCTCATTAAAGATAATCGGCTGCGTCGGCGGCACTGAAAAATTAAACAATTTGCTTTTACCACTACTATTTAAATATTTAATATATAGAAAGTTGCAAATACCCGGATAGCTTACAATGATTTTAAACAGCCGCAAATCAGAAATAATTTGGCATTGTCAAAAGCAATGCAAAGGCAAATTTATACAATGCTTTTACTCATACAACTCGCATAATAAATTGTAAGTTTTGCGGCTAACCGAAAAATCATTTCAGCTAATTTATGTGCAACTCGTTTGGTCCACTGTATATGTGTGTATGTGGACGAAACAAATATTAATTGCTTTTATAATCGTTTCTGGCTGGCCATATTTATTTATTTATTTATGTGAATGTTGATTGTATATGCACGTAGATTGTATATATATTTATTAATGGTTCTTTTTATTTAAACTGGCTGAAGTGGAAAAATTTTAATTGAGATTTGAGTTGGACAAACAGAAAAAGATCTGATTTTTATTCGTTTAGCAGCGCTATTGGGTACATATTTTGGCAATCTTTGTATATAAATTAAATAAATATTTCATAACCAAATATTAAGAATTTAATAGATGCAATAGATGTTTGATCAAATTAGTATTAGTTATGATAGGCTGATAATTAAATATGATAGATTGTTATACTCGATCCTTTTTCTAGACTTTCTCCTTTGATCCAAGTTTGAATTAATTTATTAATATTTTTTTGTGATGTCTTTTATAATTTGTTATATTTTTTTAAGTGAGGCACGCAAAAAGAAGTGTTGATATTCCAAATAGCCTTAGGCAAAATGTTTACAGTTTCCCTAGTCAGTTAAATATTAATTTAAAATGTTGTATGTTTATCAAGGGTTAGTTGGGTCCTGTCAATGATTTATTCGAGTGTGGGGCCCGCGAAATAGATTGGTTCCCTGACATCTTTCGGTTCTGTTCTGGGTATACGCACCGACAACTTCCAAATTGACGTTGCTGTTGCGGGTCTGCGAAAGCTTGAAGTCCACGCGACAGCGAAAGTTGCCCGCATCCTTTTCCTGAAATGAAATTCCAATTATAGAGCGCCGCGCTGTTGACACTTGCGAGGGGAGTTGGAAGGGTTACCTTAACCGGATTTATAATCAATTCCGCCGGCTCCTTGTGGGTGCGAAAGACGGCCCGATCCTCGAGGACCTCTTCGTCCCGCCAATGCGATGGGGTGCCAGCGTGGGCGCCACGTGTGTCGTAGCTGTCAAAGGGATTGAGATACAAGATACAAGATACAGGATACAGGACACCGAATGCTAGTTTTGCCCAGATTGACCTACCTGTAAATGGGTAAATTATTCTTGTACCAAACAACCAGCAGCACTTTGTCATCGGCCTGGCTGGAGCCCACATCACATTTGATTTGGGCCGAGCTGTTCACCAGCACGCGCAGGATTTCGCCATCTGAAAAAAGAAGAGAAAAGGAGATGCCTTGAGAAAAGAAGTCGCTGCAAGTTGGCAAGTTTTATTTCTAAGTTCTTTGCTCTTGGCTGAGAATGGAAGTCAATTTAGCTGGCAAATTGATTTTCAAGTGGCTGCCGCAACAATTTGTCAAAAAGTGCTCAACAATTGCATTACGGCATACACACACACACGCAGATGGAGTAAAGGAGCCTTATGAAGTTCTGCAAATTTTGATAAACTTGTTTGTGCCAGGAAAACTGGCGAAATATTTCATATTTTCTGGCAGCCATTCAACGAATTTCTCTCTCTCTGATAAATGTGGCTACTTTTTGGCTAGCGAAAGGATCTCCCCTTGCCCCCCGTTCTAATTAGCCAAAAGCTGACCAGTGTAGCCTGCATTCGCACCATTTGGCTAAGCTTTAAAATATCGATCGATCTGCGGCTGTTTGAGGCCTGAAAAATGAAAACCAAAAATAGCCGAAAATCGCCAAACAAAATCACAACATTCATAGAGAGATGGAGATAGCGGGCAAAAGGGCTGGGTGGTGATGGAAAAACCAGATATAGCTGGGGAAAATGCAGCGACAAGCGACCACATAATGCTGCAAAACAAAACAGGAAAAAAATTCTGAACAGCAAAACCCGGGAAAAGCCGCCGCACGTGTGAGGGAAGGCTCAAGGGGGGGGAAGTTGATGGCCAGGGGATATGGGATATGGGCCAAAAGGATGTTGGCCAGGGGATAGTGGCAAAGCGGAGCTTAGGGGTGATTACCCAGCCACATGCGGATTACAAAATGGCCGCCATTTTCGTGTTGTGCTGCCCAGTGGCTGCCCGCCCTGCGTCAGTGTGTGTTTATGCGGTAAAAATGCATTGGCAAATGCGTCTGGCTGGTAAAAAGAGCAGGAAAAAGCCAATACAGGGACAGGAAATAAAAAACCAGGCCTCACTGATCGAAGATTCAATTACCCTGGTCAGTTCATAAAAAAATTCGCACTAAAATCCTCTTAAAGTTGTTAAAAACTATATTGAAATTCTCCCAATTATTTGAGTTTATGAATCACGATGCAGATAGTATCCATTAACTGTTTACAAAAAATGGTGTAACAAATTAATCCATAAAGCCTTGAATTTCTTTAGGTCATAAATTCGAAAACTGCAAGTTAAGCCACATTTTCTGGAGCCACAATCATCAATCAAAGTGGTAACTATGGGAACAGTGATGCAGTGACCCATTTTCCGGCATATTAGAGATCTGTCACATAGCCTGAGTCTGTGACTTCCGTGGCCAGCATACCCCTGGTTATCCTTGGGGCATTCGGGCAGATTGGAGCGACAAGTGCCTTGGATGGCAAACGACATCGAACTTCACTTGCTGCGACCGAGGGTAAACGGTAAACGCCTTTGGCAGAGCTTTTGTTTCTAATTTTGCACTTGTGTGCGCAATGTGGCCGCAAAAGGCCTACGCAATGGGGCAATCTCCCACTTTCCCCGGCTTTCTCGCCAGCTTTCTCCACAGCTTTTCCCCCCCGCACTGCTTCAACCACAAACAGAGAGCCCCGGGCTTCACTTCACTTTGTCCACACAGAGCACACCCGTAGCGGACCACATGATAAATAATCGATAAATTATGTGGACACATGTTTAATCTAGCATGAAATGGAATCATTTCCCTTCAATTTGTTGTTAGCCAGGCCAGGCCAGCAAAACAACAAAGCAAACGAGCGATACCACAAAAAAAAAAACAAAAAATAAACTAGATAGAATACAGCGAACAGATGTGTTTTTGGGGTGCGTGAGGGGCAGAGGACCTATTTAAATATAAATAATGATCGAATTATAAACGCCGGCGAGTGTCCGCTGTCTGCTGACTAAACACGTCGTTGCTACGAGGGAATTGTTTGCTCTGCACTAAATTATTGCGCATACGCCATGTTAACGCACTTGGCCAACTTGGCACAGTGTCAACTTGTCTGGACTCCAGACAACACAGCCGCATCTCTGCGTCGCTGAATGATTCATTCATCATTTGCTTAATTGCATGCCAAACATTACAATTACCCAAACGACAGCTGAAAATGTCCACTGATGGAACCCTGAACTGGCTGGGTCACTATACCCATATCTATCTATGATCCTATCTCGTATCTGAACCGCTGTCTGCTGCCTGGAGTTTCTTAATTAATATTTTATTTCATTAGCAGATTGGTCATGAACTGACATGTGTCGTCACCGGAAGCTGTCACACTTTAAACCACATTTGATAAGGTTTTCGGAGTCCTAATGGAGACAATTAGCTGTGGAGCAAAACATTTTGAAATGGATACTAAAATGTCAAGTTAATTGGCCTTGTCAATTGCTATGGTGGGCGCAATTTAAATTTTCCTTGCTTAAAATTAGTGTGGAAAGGACTAAGAAAGGTCATTAAGCTTAATTCATTTAAATCTGCTACACTTAAAATAAACAAATAAATTTTTAGGCATGTTAAAACTGCAATTAGTCTAAAAAACACATCACTAAGTATATGATGGTAATGATATTTAAACTTAAACCTTTTTAAGTTATCAAATAATTTTATAAGAATAAATTTAACGTCCTTCTTACAAACTGTTTGCTCATTAACTAGGACACAATGTATTTTTAGTGGCCTCTTTCCCAATAAAATGTTGTTTAATTATAGGATAGATGCATACACATTCATGGATAATTAAGCCATACCATGTGGGCCTCTTGCCAATTTATATGTCTTCATTACGCTCTCAAAACTACGCCCGAGTTGTCCTAATTTCGTTGGCATTCTGGTACATCTGTGCGATGTTGCTTTGTCCCCAACACAAAAGCACAAACAACGACACTGACAATGACTCTCTGGATATCCTTGATGGCAGTGCCTATAACAATGCCGCCACTTGTTGTTGCCTGCTCCCTCCCCGGCTTAATGTAATTGAACTTTTTTCTAATTGACACTTGTCACTGGCAAAGACATTTAAAAAGCTACAGCTACAGCTAGAGATACGAAAAAGAAATAAACTTAATTTTGACGCATTTACACATACATTTATTTCAATTTCCCTGCACAACAAAGGGAGCGAAGTAGTCGCAGTGGCAAACAAAACAATTCCATCTCAACTACCACACAGATACTCAGGATAACTACACCCACACACACAGGCGGGCCAAGTTGTATCTGTGTTTGTGGCACAATGAAAAGCTCCTCGACAATGGCACACAAAACGCAACACGGGCGGGCGAATTTATTGCACTGGTGTGAGCTTGAATGTGAATGGGAAGTCATTGGAGTGGTTGCAGTAACCGCAAAGAAAAAGCTGCAGGAGCTGCGGCGGCGACAGGTGGAGAACGAGGGGAGAACGAGTAGAACAGCAGGCTGCCATCCTGGAGGACACAACTAAATACAAAAACCACGTGACAATGTTTTCCCCCTGCAATGACGAGCGGCGGAGGAGCTCGAGGAGCAGCCATTTCAGTGGTGGGGCACAGTTGGATGTATCCGTGTGGCCACCAGCCACCAGTCAGCATTCACCAGCCAACAGCAACTTTGTGTCGCATTCGCAGAAAGAAAACCGCACGGGAATGCATCAAGCTGTGAGGAGCAGGCAGCTGAAAGCAGACGGCGAATGCCGCAAAACTGGATAACTGGGCGTATGCGTGATGTGTGGTTGTGGGAAGAAAAGTACAGAAACACAAAGGTGAAAATACCTGATTATAGTTTTTCTTGCCACATTATTGAAGAAATTTTTTAAAAAGGATTATATTTTTTCTTTCGTCTCCGCTATACTCAATGCCATTCATGTCCATGTTCATTATCGTTCCATATTCTTTTATTTAAACCTACCATTTTTATAATGTTAGGTAGTCTTATATTTATATTTTTTATAAATTAATTTTGTTTAAATATATACAAAGACACGTAATTTTAAAGCAGAGAAACAAAATACCTACTATAATTAAAAAATACAATTAGTAAATTCCAAAATGAATTGGTAATCCATATTAATTATTTCTATTATAAGTGCAGACTAATGTTCCCGGGTTATTTAGCATTTTGACTTGACATTCCACCTTTAAATGTTTAAGGGCACTTTTCTGGAAATAGTCACACATTAAAGTTGTATTCTGCAAACCCCTTTAAATATGAATGGCATGACTTTACAAAAACATGGCCTGGGAATGGGTGCACATGTCGTATGCGCGTTATGCAGTGCACTTCGTTAAATCCAATAACAAGACAGACAGCGCCCACAACAACAACGTGGGGAGCAGCTAAAATAACATACAATCAACAGAGACAGTTAGACAGGCAACCCTCAAAAAAGAGTGCCTGCTGTTTTTTCAGTGCAGGGGTAAAAGGGCAGAGGGCATAAAAAAGGACGAGGACGAGGACGAGGAGCTCCAGAAGGAGACAGCTGCCATCCAACAGTAATTGACAGAAGTCGCTCAGAGGAACGTATGTAGTTGTAGAACTCCGGCCTGCAATTGCAATGATAATGTCAAACTGATTTCACTACAACTCAAAGCCAGACAACTTTGCTGCGGTTACACGTTTTAATACAACCCCAATCCAGTCGGAAAAAGGCCACATAAATGTATAAATCATCCGGAGAAATATGGGAATCAAGAATGCAAAGCCTGCAGCGACATATGAGTGAAATATAAACCCAACCCGAATGCCCAGATACAACCAAAAACGGTATGGATCCCCGCCGACACGTGCTGGCATCCCTGGGAAATATTTTCTTTCATTGCTCACGGACATCGTTAGCCCAAATTGTTGTGGAGCAGCGGAAACAGACGAAGGTAGCAAAATGCTGAGCTAATGCCGGGACCTCAAATCAAAGCCAGCCAGAAATCAAGTTGAAGTTCAAAAGCATTCGTTAACCAGTTAGCACAATCAGCTAGAAACGGAGGAGTGAAATGTTTAGGATTCAGTAAATTCCTCCTATTTAAGAGAGCACCAAATGACAAACCGTTCTTAAAACTTAAA